TTGCAAACCAAATTCTTTGTTTCAGACAAAGTATGTTTCAGCCAAACCAAATTCCACATGACTTCTTAGTGTCCATGCCTCGAAACATATCCGATTCACCTAGGCAAATTCACTGTGTCATCCCAACTCGTGACACCAAATGGCCATGATCTCTTTGTCATGGCTCCTTTGGCGTTGAAGCGTTTGTTTTTCACGCACATCAGCAGTCTGGTTGGATCTTCGCACTGGCAGCATGCACCCAGACGACATATCGAAAACACATGTTGAGTCCCTTGGGTACTGGCTGCAGCTGCAAAAGACACAGCTGTAAACATTTCCTCCTGAGCCACAGGTTCACATTTGAAGCCCAAAGGCTGTACCAGCTCAAGGCGTGACCTTCGTCATCCAAACCCAAATGTCATAATTTTCGCTCGCTAATTCCCCAGAGGTCCGATCACAAAAGTGTCTGTCAACATCCATCGTGCGCAAATGCTGCAGCAGTGTCAAGAGCCCTTGTTTCAGGCTATGCACGATCTCACCAACTGACATGACTGACAGCAACTTCTGCCACGCACCTGTTACAGTCTGAAGGCGTGTGGCCTTGTCAATGTCCAATAAGTAACCAACCTCCAAAGCTTTCACCAAGAGCACTGAATCAGAAGCAAACTCATACACATCCAACCCCAAATCTTGATTTTGATGTTGCTTCGCCTGTTGGTGCCTCTTTGCGCAGGTCAACTTCGGTGGAAGAACTCCACGCTGTAAGCTGCGCAAGTCAAAGGCAATCTCCTCATGCTCCTTCATCATTGTTTCGCTCAAAGTTTCCAGAAGTAACTCCAGTTGACGATGCGAAAGCAAACTACTGCGGATCTTTGTTCAAACAATTTTGTTGTGTTTTGATTCTTGTTTCTATCAGCCAAGACGAATTTTCAACAGTGTAGAAATTGCCAAGGTCCCTGTGGATCATTCTGCGCTGCTGCGCTGCCAGCCCCATCAGGTTCAGCGACTTGAACTGAACTCGGTCAACTCGACAACGCGAAAATGCTTCAACGGCTTCTGATGCCGCCAGAAGCCGGGCCCTCAAATTTTTCACATTTTCATCAATCTTCGCCAACATCTCAGCATGCACCTGTGTGGCTGCGACCAATGGAGTGCCGGTAATGGCCAACGTAAAAAGATCATTCTGTCGCACACATGCTTCAATACAACCCAGTAGACTCTTAATTGTCTCATCCGAGCGCTCCAGCAGCAACTCTTCACCCGAACGAGATGTTTTCACTGTGCTGACAGAGGGCGTTGGCTCTTCTTCCACACCTCGCTTCTTAATGCCAGTGAAAAGAAGCGACTGCTTTGGATCCACCACGCTTGCAGCAGGCACCCGGACAGCCCCGGTCACAACCGGTTGACTCCCTTGGGTACTTGCCGCAGCTCCAGCAGAAACACTCACAGTACTTGCTGCGGCTCCAGCAGACACACTTGGCGACTCTTCCTCAAACCAAGGGTCTTCGCCAGGTGCCAAAGGGCTTGAAGACGTCTGGACAGCTCCAGTCGAAACCGGTTGAGTCCCATGACCTTCCTGCCCCCGCACCGGACATCCAGCCCAATGTGTGCTGTGCCAGCGGAGCGTGCAATTCATACGGACATGCTTGGCTTCTGGCGCAGCACCTTCATGCAAAGCAATTTCCTGCTGCAGCCCAACTTTCTCCCACTCTTGCATTGTAGTGAACATAGGAAGCAACTTCAAATCTTTCCAAGTGGAGCGCGCCGGCACACCATGGCAAAACTCTGCTTGGAAGTCTCCTGCCATCACCAAAGCGTCACCGCCTTCTTGGAACAACATCCTTGTCACTGGACCTTTTTTGGGGCCCAAGGTCAACACACCCCCATGCCCAAAGGAAAAGGACGTGATCGGATCAACATTGCTGTAGGTGGCAGACTCATCTGAATGAGGGCTGATTCCATGATTTTTGTTGTGATCATTCCAGTTCCACAACACCTGCCACGACTTGTCAAGCCAAGTGGGACGCAGGTCTCGATTCTGAAAAGCTTCATAGTTCTTCATCAATGTGGCGTCCCATAATTTCTCAAATCTGCTTCCAGCTTTCCACATGGCCGATGAAGTTGGCACGTGTTTCTGGTGAGCGTCAGCTCCAAAGATGGAGCGACACAGACACGGAGCACGCGTCACCTGCGCACTCCAGTAGTACACAGTCCATCCGTCAGCTTTCAGCATCTGCTGGGATTTCGTTGGACGAGCATTGTTGTTGCGAACATTTTCTTCCCACTGTTGAATCTCTTCCAGCTGTGGCGCAATGAAATCTCCCATCTCGAAGAAGGGCCTTCCCTCAGCACAAGCGCCTTTGGCGAATAGCAAGAAGGATTTGTTCGATCTATGCGGCAATCTCTCTGCATAGTTCTCAAAGGCAACGTCTACACCAAACAAAAGCTGCGCAAATTTCACAGTGTCATCCCAACTCGTGACACCAAATGGCCATGATCTCTTTGCCATGGCTCTTGAAACACCAGACCTTCCCGGTCAAAACCAGTTCAGTCCCAATGTGTTCAAACTTCCCAAGTGCAAAAAGACAGTGTCTGTCTTGCAGTGTCAAGCTACACCTAAATATCTATATAGTATGTAACCTCTCCAATCTTTCTCAATGAAACATTTCGAAGAGATACACCTACTACATTTATATTCTCAAGCGTTTCATGTCCCTATCCTTTGAGCACTATTATCTTATTCACGTTTCTGCTTGTGCTTGAGCTCGCGTCGGCTGTTGCGCAGGGTGTCAAAGCACAAGCTGCTTTCCAAATCACTTATCCAACACTTTTGAAAGCAGCCACTGGCCAATGTGCTTACTTCCACTCAAACTCCTCGCCTGCGCAGCACTCGCAGATTGGTCACCCTCTGCCATCACCTGCCAAGCAAACAAAAACACGCAAGAAGACACTACTGATCACACAACCTCCTCCTGCTGAATTCTTCTATGATGATGTCCATCCTGCCTCTGGCCCGCGATCGAGTAGATGAGGGCTCAAATGCTCCAACAAATGTTCCGATGTCACATATCCACCATGCCACCATAGCTGTGATACACAACAGAAACCCTGTGTGATGTTGACTGTCTCAAGCATCAATCCAGCATGAGATCACTTCAAGTAATTTGTAGTAACTTGCTGTAAGATGTTGCCTGTCTCAAGCGTCTTTGCAAACAGCTCCAAGGTACAGAAGTGGAAATGTCTCTGTCCACCCCAGTGACTCTGTCATCTGTTCAAACTGATTGCTTCAAACTTTGCCACCTGCAAAGTAAGAAGTGGCATTGCCCCGGTCACTCTACCACACACGCGCGAGTTTGCAAGTAATATATAACATACTTGTCTGACATTCTTTCTAACTTTCTTCTGCACATTCTTTGTCCCATATCTTCCTACATGAGGTCCGGCAGGGAACACTTGGCGTGGATACTCGCGGTTGAGGTCCGGCAGGGAACACTGGGCGTGGATGGTCGTGGTTGAGGTCCGGCAGGGAACACTGGGCGGGGATGGTCGTGGTTGAGGTCCGGCAGGGAACACTGGGCGTGGATGGTCGTGGTTGAGGTCCGACAGAGAACACTGTGCGTCGAGGGTCGCGGTTGAGCAGGAGGAGGAGGAGAGGAGAGGAGGAGAGGAGCAGGCAACTGACATAAAATCTAACAACCCTCACCTGGCAGGTGGGGAAATACATGCCAAAAAATGCCAAAACCTACAGTTCGCTACAAGTCTTTCACCTTAAGTCAGTCACCCATCTTTGCACAGTTTGTTTCAGCTCCAAGCGGCTGATTTAGGCGTGTCCAGCCTGCCAGAATCTTGCTTTACCAGACCAGCTTCGTCCTTGACTACACAGCAGGCCGAAACAAAACCTCCAGAGATCTTCCCCTAATGCTCATGATGATCAAACGGTCCAATATTTTTGGGTTATAATATATATATATAATTATATTCATTATAAAATCAAAATATATATTACATATTATACATATTATATATATGATATATATATATATATTATCAATATATATATATATTATATCATAATAAATATATTATGACATATTTTATACAATATATATTATATATTATATATTACATATTACATATTATATATTATATATTATACATGATATTTTTGATATATTATATTATATATTATAAAGTATATATTAAATATACTATACTATATATTCAATATTAAATATTATAAATTATATATTATATTATTATATTATTATATTATTATATTATTATATTATATCATAATTTATTATATGATATAATATATTATATGTATAATGTGTATATTCTATATATATTATAATATTGATATTATATAATATATATATATATATTTATTATTATATTATATATAATAAATATAATATTATCTGTAAATATATATATATATATATTGTAATATAAATAATATATTAAATAAAATATATTATATAAATATATATATACAACATATATAATATATTTTTATAAAATATTTTTATTTGATTTATATATAAATATATTATATTGTATATATTATATATATATATATATCAATATATATATATTATAATATATATATTATAATATATATATATATATATATTTATTTATAATATATATATATATATATTATATTTTATTATATTATATTATATTATATTAATATTATATTATATTTATATTATATCATATTTATATTTATATTATATTATAGTATATTTATATTTATATTTATATTATATTATATATTATATTATATATTATATTATATTATATTATATTCTATTTATATTTATATTATATGAAATTATATTGCAGACTCTTGAGGCAGTGGCTAGATCCGATTCTGGCGATTCAATCTTGTTTCATGTTCTGTGTGTGTGTGGAAACAAACAATCAAAACAAACCTCGAAAATTATAGCTTAGACTTGCCTGATTCAAGAGATTGACGATCTAGAAAATCGTTAAACAAATACATCATAACCAAATCACTCCAGGAACTTCCAAGGCCCATTCCCCGTGGGTTCCCGTGGTTTCCCGTGGTTTCCCGTGGTCCATGCAAGGTCCTTATCCTTATTACTGCGCGCGAACTCTGCGATTAAATCCTCCACGGTCTTTCCCTTCATTGTCGCTATGGCCTGACGATCCACTCGTAGATCTCAGGTGCTGGTTCCGGTTAGGATCAACAAATAACCTATGGGATGCACGCAGTTACTTGTATTCTAGATATATACAGCTATGGCCCTTACCAGGTATAAATTGGGATTATAATGATATATAACCTTAGTTATGGGAATAAAATTGTCGTTTGCTATGCAACTGGGTAAACAAGCATGTTGGTAGGTTGAAAGCCACACACCAAACACCAATCCTAAACCGTCATAGCCAATCTTTAAATACCACTTTCTTGGGAGCCCAATGTCATGGCAAGAGAAAAAAACATGTAAACTTTTAGCTGGGCACCACCTTCATCGATTTTTGTAGCCGTTGACCTGCAGTTCACCCAGATTTACCAAGCTTTGGGAGCCACCCAGATTGCCTGAAACTGGGGCATTAACCTTCAAGTTCTTGCCAGTGTAAAGGAACCATGATGATTAATCTGTGGAATGGGTTTTCCTATCATTTTCAGGTACCAAAGCCGTACACCCTGATCTTCCCGATCACCAAGACCAATTCGCCTCCGCCATGTCCATGATAGCGTCTAGCAAGGAATGGCCCTCTAAACGCCTCAGGGCTTTCCAAGTGATCACATGGCCTGGACCGAAAACCAATGATTTCTAGTACAGGAACTCCCAGATGCAAAGGTTCCATATATCATATCTACTGCATGTTGCGGCATATTTGACTGGGTTTCTATAACTGGGTTTTAAATAGCTACTATAATACTGTAAAACAACAACATGGTTGTTGCCTAACTTAGTAAGTGGGATGCACAATCAAGACAAGCATGTTTCCGGGATGCTGGGTATATTATATTTGAAATACTGTGATTTCCAGGTTTGCAACTTGCAACTTTTCTATCTAGTTGGGGGTTGCCATAGATCTTGGCTCTTGATGTAGCTCTTGAATTCACCAGCTAAATATGGGCGTGAATCCCCAAGTTCATGGGTGCTTAATCCTTCCTGATGACCAAAACATCTTTGGAGCCAGCTTCTTGACAGCCCATGTAGCCTCTGGTAAACTAACATAGCTATTGAAAATGACCATAGAAATACTTGATTTACCTATTAAAAATTGTGTATTTTTCCATAGTTATGTAACATTTTACCACATGGTACCAGGTAGATTGACAAACCTATATAATTTCAATGGAATTCTTACCGTGGCATTGGTTCATGACTTTTCCATCACGGGAAATCTCCGCAACAAAGCCTGGTGGTAACCGATCAAAACATGGTAAGGTTGGCGAATGAGGTTGCCACAGTTTGGGAAGATCATGAATTATATATACTGTAGTACCCTCTGGTAATTTGTTACATAGCTATTGAACATGGCCCATAGAAATAGTTGATTTTCCCATGAAACATGGTGATTTTCCAGTTCGCTTTTTGTATGTTTACCAGAGGGTAACCCTGACAAAGATACAGACATGTTTCCATATTAGTCAGATTGGATCATCATCCCAACTATTGGGGAAAATAATCCAAATGTTTGAAACCACCAACCAGTATAATCAGTATATAATAACCCTGACAAAGATACAAACGTTTCAAACATGTGATGTCCAACTGGGACATGCTATTGAAAATGACCATTTATAGTTGATTTACCTATTAAAAAATGGTGATTTTCCAGTTCGCTTTTCAAACATGTTTCCAGCATGTAAAGCTTTGATGATGTCGAACTCTTCGCCACTTAAAACGCTATGCCGCGAGACGTCATCACCAGCACCGTGGGTCGGCAGAACTCCAGAATCGGCTCAGGCACTTTGACCTTTCGTCATGAGCCTAGAAATGAGGGGAAACCACCTGACATTTGTACACATTTGTAGACGTCAAATCACATGTGTACGTATCAAAACATATAAATTATGGGTGGGTTGAAATATGACATGATGATACTCCATCCAACAGCGTCCTCATCCATCTCCCATGGACTAACCTATGGGATATGCAAGCTATGCACAACGGAATGCCGTCGACAAATGGCTTGGAGACGTGAACATCTTATAGCGGCCGTAAAGGCATAGCCAGGCATAGCCAGGCATAGCCCTTTTTATAGAGGAAACAAGAATTCAGAAATCATTGCACCAACCTCTTGCGAAGTATGTAGTTACTATAGTTTATGTAATGTCAAGTGAGGATTAATAACCCCCTCCCGATTAATCAACCACCATTGCCCAAAAAGAAAATATAATTTAAAAACAGGTGGTCCCCCCAGATTAATAAACCGGTGGGCCTACCCCCGATTAATCAACCACCAGTGCTGAAATCATTTTTTTTTATCCAACATTTTTTATTTCCAATTCTATTTATTTCCAATTGTTTTTTACCTTTTTTTTAGTCATCATTGTTATACTTCAGGTTTAAGTTGATCATTGAAAAAATCAAAAAACAACTATTCCCCAAATGATCGATTTCTAATTAAAATCTTTATAAAAATCATCAGTTTGGATAGCTCCCAAAGGGGTACCCCCCATGAGCCCATGTCCCCCATTACTAATAACCAGGGTTTGCCCCTGATTAATCAACCACCTTTCTGATCCATGAAATTTTAACAAATCCAATGGAATTCTATTGAGATCTAATTGACGTAAGCCATATCCAAAGTTTTATGGTTCAGAGTTGCTTATTATTGAGGGGTGTTTAAGAAAATGACCTACAAGGTAGAGTTCTGACCTTCTGGGGGGGTTATTAATCCGGTGTTGGCATTATATGTTTATGTACAACATATATGCATTCCTGTGAATCATCAATGGCAATTTCAATCATTTTCCCAGGTAGCCATGGATCATTTTTTCACCCAGGAACCTCCGGGAACTTCTGAGAAAGGCCCTGGCGAACACGCAGCAGGTTCGAGGCTTCCTGCTGGAAGTCCAGCTCTTCCAAGTGATGCTTTCGCCTTGGTCGAAGTGAGTCGGGATCGTCCTAGCTTTGAACACACATATTTGACACCAACTGGTGATTTCATAAAAACTATTGAGATTCGGGACAGAATGCTGTGAGTATATTTCTGTATATATCTGTATATATTTAATGGAGGGACTCGAATATTGACATGTCAGTCTGCGGCAATGCAAGAGCCACGTTGCAGCTGTGAATGCAGGTTTCAACATGTTCAACAAGATCGTTAGAACCGTTAGAGTTTTGATTGCTTCTGTATTGAAAAAACAATTTTCCTATTGCCCTCTGAGAATCCAGGAAGTGTGTCATGTGATTGTCATTGTGATCAATTCAAAAGCGGATTTCTTTGGCCGCAAAATTGATCGTTTCCCCTTGATATACTACCCGAAAATGACTACATCGATGTGGAAAACCCATGGTTTTCAAAGCCTTTCGGAAAATGATCTACAACTGGTGGGTTTTCCACATCTATGCTCGTTTACAGGAGTGTACCCATCCTTTTTGGGCCACAGCTTGGCTGGTAAACGTGCTGGAGACAGGTCGACTTCCCTGGCCACTTTGTGAAGGTCTGATTATATATAGAGGTGAAATCCATATTCCAAGTATCCATGAAAATTGTTCATTAATAATTTCATGGTCAATCTTTGGTAGTCCACAAAAAAAAGTAATATTTTGCTGTTTATGTCTATTTTCCATTTACCATCTGGTTATTTAACATAGCCATGGAAAATCACCATTTTTAATAGGTGAACCATCTATAAATGGGCCATTTCCCATGGCTATGTTAAATAGCCAGAGGGTATAAGAAAAGACTAAAGGATCAAAATAGCTATCCAAGGTTGGGGATTCATGACAATGATCCACTATTATCCACAAGGTAAATCATCAATGTCGGACAAATGGAGGTGACCTCCCTGTTTTGACTGGTGTACCCTCTGATGTACCCGCTGGTAATCGAAAATTGCAATTGGACATCCACTATCAATGGAGCTTTGTGGCGTTTGATTACTGGAGGATATGTTCAAACATCCAAAAACATTTTCCACACGCAGGTTTCCGAAAATACGAGGACCCCTAAATCATCAATTTACATATGATGCTCCATTATAAATCATCCAGCTACTGGGGTCTGGGGATCCATCATTTATGGAAACCTTTTTTTTTGTCCAAATATTTTCCATATATTGCCAGGTAATTCCCATCATTCCTCCAACATCGTCAGAGCTGCGCTTCCCGAGCATCGTCCACTTTTGACTTGTCCAACAGCCAAACGATACCTAGAACAGATTCCAGGGCCAGGCCCCCCCCCCTTACGAAAAGGGAGGAACCTTGGGGAATAGATTCACTCAATTTCTTATCTTTGTCTTCAGGGTGTGCCGAGTTGATTTAAGTATATTTAAGTAAACTCATATGGTGTATATATATATATATATACAGTAACATAATATATATATATATATTTTGTAGCAAAAATCCACCTTGTACTTGAAATACTCGGATGCGTTATCCGCTTGTCTCGCTTCAGCATCAAGGCCATGCAAAGGTGAGGATCTGACCGGGCAGAATGGGGTCTCCAACCACGATTTTTTGGGCATGGTTTTGTCTGAAAACAGGCAACATACCTCAAAATGTCGTGGTGGTTTCAAACTGACTAAATACGATTCTCCTTCTTATCTTATTAAGATGTCTATTTCGGGGTATACCGTAGCCCATTTTTAGACAAAACCATTGCTTGAACTCCCTTGCCTCGGTAGCTCGCCGACCAAGACACGTTCGGCGTTGGCAAAATCCGCTGCAATGCTCCGGGAGACTTCAGGGTATTGCACCTGTTGGACCAGAATTCGACATCAGCTGGAGGATGAGACCACTGAGTGAAACTGCTGGACCCAGCTACCCTCTGGTAAACGTTTACATAACTATGGAAAATCACCGTTTTTAATGGGTAATCCACTATTTCAATGGCCATTTTCAATAGCTATGTTAGTTTACCAGAGGGTACCGGAAAAAACTGAGGGAATTTCTCAAGCATGGTTATTGACTTGTACCAACTGGGAGAATCCTCCAGGATTGTCATGGGCCGTATCTATGGTGCTAAGACCAGCACAGAATTCTCATAAACATGTTGGCAACAATCCTATGTGGGTATGGATTATAAACAAAAATGAATCCAATGTACACGGTAGAATGAATGTAGAATATATATATATGTAATTATATAACATATTACTGTATTTATAATACATATACGTCTGCAAGCCAAGATAATAAACCCTGAATTGTGCTTAATAAATAATCCTGAAATAGCTGCTGCAGCTGGTTCATTCCCAAAAAATATGGTATGCCGTAGGCAATTTGATCCAGCCACATATCACTCCAGATAACGGTTGATGGCTAAGGCTACATCCATTGGTATATCCCCCATCTCCGCTATATATCACTCATCCCACATATATTGGTAGACATACACCTTGATATCCATCACTATACCAGAAACATGTGAATCTACAAGGTGGTGCCACCCAGTTCTGTTGTTTTGAAAATTCATGAACTAGTTCGATCTATCCACTAGATGTCCAACCGTCAACAGACCCTGACAAACCAGCTCAGCCAGCATATCTCATCTATCCCCCAATCTTCTTAGTTCAATTCCAAGTTTTGCTGGTAAAATCATCATGTCTCACCATTTTCCTTGGTAAATTCCATGCGTTTTTGATTTCCCATAGTTTCCCATAGTTTCCCATAGTTTCCCATAGTTTCTCCTAATATTTCTCCATTTTTCCCATAGTTTTCCCATGGTTTTTGGATGGTCAACCTGTACAAAGCGCAAGCGCGGTACGCGCGCACCTTGATCACCACCTCTAGGCCGCGAAGCCGCAAGGTGGCCTTGTGCACTTGTCCGATGCTGGCAGAGCCGATGGGGACCTGAGCCAAGCGAAGAGAAAGGACCCAAGGAACATAGGGATGCTACCTTTATTGGTTATAGATACAATGGCTATATGAGGCTATATGGGTTGTATATGTGTTAGAAAGTTACTGGTTGGTGGTTGAGTTGACTTGGTTGACCTACCATCTTGAAAAATGATGGAGTTCGTCGATGGGAAGGATGACATCCCATATATGGTGGAAAATAAAATTCATGTTTGAAACCAACCAGATAGGGATGGAACATATCAGAAAATAGATAATAATCACAATGGACATGATCAATGGATACCATGATTAATGGAATTTCACCATTATTAAAGGATATTCATCACCATGGCATGGGATAAACATAAGATCATTGTCAATGGATATTAATCATGATAGATGGATATTCACCATGGAGATTTGGTGGTTGAAGTGGGATAAGTCAGGTGGGATGATCCATCAAGTAGGGATGGAACTTATATGGGGATGGGTCAAAACCTATATGGATTTACCATATGACTGGGGGAATGTTTACATCCATTAACCAACTATTTTAATCTATTTTAGGGATTTTTAGGGTAGGGTGACAGGGATTGACACACATAGCTATATCAGTGAAAATACTGATGCATCATTTTTCTCGTTTTCACCGATCTGTCCAAATGCCACATTCCACGGCCACATCTTGATCTGGGACAACAGCGTCGAAAGGAAATGGCATCCTCCTGATCCTCCTCCATCCAAGTCCATCGACAGTTTCATGTGAAAATCACCTCGATCAGTTTTGCCAATCCATGCTCCAACCTTGTCCTCACCATTACTGGTGGTATACCTACCCCTCTGAAAAATTATGGACTTCGTCAGTTGGGATGATGGCGTTCCTGATATGATGGAAAGTCATAAAATTCAAGTTCCAAACCACCAACCAGATTAGCAGTTTTCAAAAAGCCAACAGCCAACACCGAACGCAACACAAAAGCGGCCTGCCTGTTTTGGCCCAACCACAAAGCAAAACGCCTCCCTATTCTGGGATTCTCCAGCCCATCATACTGGATGGTATCAAAAATGATCAAACATGGAACAAAAATGGCCGTGGTTTTCGTGGTTTCCCCCCACCACGGCCATGGAACATGTTGGAACCTTGGACCATGCTACAAGTTTCCAGGGTGTTCATAGAATGTCTGCCGCACTTAACCACCTCCTACCTGGATTAGCCGTTCCTTCTCGTCATTTCTGAATGACACCATGTTACACGTCCACTCTCAAAGCCTAGCAGCACAGCTGTGTTATGGTGTACTCCCTTCCCCTAATACCAACCCTCCCCCAAATAATCAACACCTCCAGGTAGTCTTTATTATTAGGAGGTATTCATTATTAGGGTGCGAGGCTTCCCCTAATACTAAATTAAAAAGCCTCAAAAAAAAATATTTTTTCCTATTTCAAAATCGATTAGATTCATTTCCTTTTAAAATCTTGCCAAAAATTGGATTTCGAAGTTTCCCCCGAATACCAAATCTAAAATCCTCATATAAAAGCTATTTTTTCGTATTTCAAAATCAATTAGATGTCCTTTTAAAATCTAATTAACATATTGCCAAAACTTGGATTTCGAAGCTTTCCCCCAATATTAAATTAAAAACCTTGTATATCCTTATATAATATAAAATACGTTTTTTTCGACCTTAAAAGACGGCCCCTAAATGACCCAAAAAAACACCCCGGGGTTGACTATAGTTTTTATTATTAGGGGGTGAAACCCACAAATGGCAGCTTCATTTTTGAATTGTTTTCTAAAAAAGGGGATCAGATAAAAATCAAATTGGCCAACCTCAAATTTTCCAAAATTGGAGACGGACCCTAGTTTTTATTATTTGGGGGTTTAGTAATAGGGGGAAGGGATTAATAACCCCACACATGATAAACCACTGGATTCGGTACCCTATTTTCGGCTCCAAGCCGTATTCATAAACCACCCTGTATACGAGGAATTGTAATGGCGAATTAACTGTCAATCGCTAAACAATGCAATAACACTTAAGGCAGGAAACATTCCAGCCACTTTTAGGATGATGATCTTCCTGAATCTGGTTTGCTAGCAAATTCCTTGTTAAACACTTCCATTTGATTTCGATTACGTGGAGATGATATGACCCAATATGACCTAATCATGTTCATCCTCCACCATGAAAAAGGCCATAGCTGTTGGCGAAAATCTGAAGTGAAGTCATTCTGGGACAGCACGGCAACGGCAACCGGCAACCGGCAACCGGCAACGGTCGGTCTTCGTGTTCCGGGGCACGTCATCGAAATCGGAGAAGGCGGACTCCAAAGGCTCGCCTAAAGCCTCCGAGATCAACTGCCGCACTTCCTGAGCCCAGTGGATTTGGAGCCTTTTGGGTGCAGAAATTTCGAGGATTCAACTGGATTCAGCGGGATTCAAGCAACAACAAGAATGTGACGCGTCGGCGACCATGAGGCCATGAGGATCCAAGAGAGTAAGGAATCCAAATTGGAGAGACATGGGAGTTGGTTCGGGGATCGCCTGATCATCCCACATGTCGTTCCACACTTGCCACTGTCCATGTGGTACAACTGTGGTACAGCTGTAGATGGGCCATCGAAATCCGATCAACCACCGAAAGGATGGTTGAACGCCATCCTAAAATGGGATGTTTACCATCTATCAACTGGTGCAGGATTTCGCAACCATCCCCACGCAAGTACACACCTTGAAGCGCTGCTTTAGTATTGGAGCTATTGATCTTGGATCCATCATTTGAGTTCGTGACATCATGCGCTGGGGAAGGGTTTGACATCATCTTGACCCACAAACATTATATTACAATATGCGTATCCTGTACACATATATAATAGTTGATAAAGGATTGAAGGACTTCGAACAAAAACGGCTCATTTTTCGTAATTTCAGGTTTGCAACTGTCCTATATAATATGTTCCTATCTATTATCTTGGGATACCGATATATCAATGATATATCTAGCATAATCTAGCTGCATATCACCCAATTTCATAGGGATCATCATGGATCATCTCATCATCAATGAATCCCTATGCAATCCCTATTAAATCCAATTGAAATCCCCATGCATCACTATTAAATCCATCCAAAATCCCATTAAGTCACATTAAATCCCTATGAATCACCATTAAACAACACCATAAATCGCTAAATCACCATGAAACAACACCATAAAATCACTCAATCATCATAAAAAGTCACCAATTCCAAGTGACAGACCCAGGTCGTGGCGGGACCCGCGTCTGCAGCGTCTGGAACTCCCGGAGATAGGGCTCTGGCAGGACACCCTTGGGGAGCCTGGGCACGTTGAATTTAGCAACATGGTACATTTATGGTAGATTTATCATGATTTATGGTAGAGTAGTTTCAAAGTGACTCATAGCGATTTGTGGTGATTTATGGTGATTTATGGTAGATTTCCAAGCATCCTGGTGCGTGTAAAATGCTGTTGAACTGTGCACCAAGTGGCAAGGACAGCATCTGCCCAATCTTCACGAAAATGCCTCCTGGCAAGCGATAAAAAAAAACCTAAAATAGGGTTGGTTCAGAATGGCGGTACCCCGAAATCACCTAAAACTCATGGGTAGACCAGTGCTACAATCATTTGGTTGCTGGTTGCACTCGAAAATTCAAGTGGTTTATCACATTTTTTCATTTTTTAATACCCATATCTTCTTGGTTAGCCATAGTGATTAAAGTATTTGTCAAAGATATCATAACACATATAACACATCCTTTAGTTGACCCAGACAGGCCTTGCTTTACCAGCAAATTCATGACTTTGGGCGCATACTTCTCGTGCAAGCCAGCGAAGTAGGCTCCATCTGTGGGATCCTGAGAGTTTTGGTCGATGAAGAAAAATCGCGGCGCAGAGAGATATACATTCGTGTCTATAATCATTTGTACCCTCTGGTAAACTAACGTAACTATGGAAAATCACCATGCTATTAATGGGAAAACTCACTATAAATGGCAATTTTCAATAGCTATGTTAGTTTACCAGAGGGTAAATATCTGAAAGCTTAAGGAACAACATATTATTATAATTTATTATATACATCATATACGTTCAATCAAAGAGGTTCCAAACATCTTGGGAAGTTGCAGCAACACCAGTCTTGTATCACTGAGACTTGCCCCTTCGGCAGAAAGCAAAAAAAAAACACGTCTACAAATGCCAACAAACTCCAGCCTGTGCCTCTTAGTTAGCTAAGATGGTGTATATAATTCCAATTATATACTAGGATTACTGGCAGTTAAACTATAGTGAATTGAGCTATAAACCAACAAACATAACTGCGGGGGCACAAGGTGTGCCAGGTGTCTAGAGATGCAAAGCGCAACCACCAAGACATGAGTTTGTACTCGCAGATCAAAGGCAAAAACACTCGCCAGGTGCCTCAGTGCAGTGAGAGCTAGGATCTGTGGCAATAGCCCATGGAATTTGTCGATTTTGACGATGATCAGAGTGTATTCAGAAACCCCCAATTAACATCATCTGGTTGGTGGTTTAAGCCCCTCTGAAAAATATGAAAGTCAGTTGGGATGATGAAATTCCCAATATATGGAAACATCATCCATTCATGTTCCAGTCACCACCAACCAGTCAACCAATCTCCCGGCCCTGGCTGCTCGGGCGCTCAGCATTCGTCGAGTCCTTTGAAAGCGATTGCCGGAGAAGACCAGCGAAATTGTTGAAGCTGGCAGGTACACTACGAGTGCTACCTGGGCGGTGTTGGTTCAAGAGATGGAGGAAAAAAACAGATAGAACAGGATCTAACATATCGTTGATTTTTGCTACGATAAAAAAACACATTCTATCTTAACTTGGGGGTTGCTGGAAGAGAAAAACGAACGGAAAACATGGAACACGTGGTTGAAGGGAAACCTGAGAAAAAAACCTTCTATTTTCATGAGCCAACCATGGAAACATGGAACTGGAAATCCTCTATGTTCAATGAGAAATTGCTGTCCTCAGCGATCAAGTGAGAGAATTTTCACCATGAAACGCAGAAATGGCGTTTTGCAGTGGAAACTGGACCCGTTTGAAAACCCCAAACCCAGGATCAAAATCTGTACTGTCTGTTCACTTTCAGTACACCCCATAGAAGATTTTCCCTATGGATGCAGTAAATCGCACTATTGGAATTCAATAACGAGAGTTCCTGCAGCAAGTATAATCTATTATATGGAAACTATTATTTTGGTCATTAACCACAATATGGATATCACAATTAACCATCATTAACCATTGGTCATTAACCATTATAGCAGTTGACAATTAAAATGTTTTTTGATTCGAAGTGGAGATCTCTGATTGCAAGGTGCTGGATGGTATAGGACACCATCCAGCAAAATCATATTAATTAGTTAGTCGATCCCAATGCACAAGACTGGACGCACCAATGATCTTGACATGGCCATCCAATCTCAAGGGTCTCTGGTCCCCAAAATTTCTACGACAGCTGCAACCAGAAGACGATTCGGACCGTAAGATCTGAATCAAGAATAGCAGTGATGCCCACCACCACCAAACCTTGGCAGGCAAAGTTTTGCATCGGTTTCCTCTATGACCTTATTTAGTAGTTCATTAGTTCATCACTGGTTGACCGTTTGATCAGTTTGAGTGTTCAGCACCTCCAAATCGCTTCAAAGTCATGAGTGTCATGAAATCATCTTCCGGGTTTTGGGCTGGGTAGAAGCTCCCAGTGCTAATATGTTATACTACAAATCACCATTGAATACCTTTAGGGGTTCTACACTGGGAATGAAAACCCCCAATGTTGGAGCCATTATCCTTTGGCCTTTGATGGTGAGTGCTGACTCAGCTCTATAATTTCAGCCCAGGGCAAGTAAATAAACGCCTCTACTCCAAGAACCATGTTTGACTTTTGGGGTACCACGCACATAGCTATGGAACATGGCCCATTTATAGATGATTCTCCCATTAAAACCTCCATTTATAAAGGATTTTCCATAGGAAATACGTTAAATTACCAGAGGCATCCAGGCGTCCGGGGCTGGAACCAACCAGACTGAGTAGGAGTTGACTTACAACTAGTGGATGCTCCGTTACCAGAAGGATGATAATCGGATGATAGGCTGTGTGATGTCGCTAACTAGCCGCTAACTTTTAAATGTTTACCACTGGTCTTGTCCTTGTTTTCACATGTGCTATGGGTAAAAAAAAAACCATTGCGGGATATAACCATCCAACTACCTATGTCTTGGATCAAAATGCTGGGCATCTGTCAGTTCCGTTAGTTAACAAAAAAACGATGAAATAAAAACAAAACACAATACATGTGAAGTACAAATTAACACATCATTATCAGTCTGTACAAGCAGCTGTGACAAAGGTATGACCATCTTTGATTCTGAAATACTATATATATATATATATGTATTTCATCTATGGATCCATCCACCCCTGCATTCTATTTTACCAGATACAGGGGTTGGTAAATGTCCTAATTGAACATCACCTAAATATTCGGATTTAATCTCCAACAGATACTTGAAATCAAGTGATGTTCAAAATCCCCAAAATGGGACATTTACCCTGATATATTTAAACCACAGGTATCCTTATTATCCCATATTATTAATATAAACCATGATTTGCTTTATAAACATTTATTATCAAATTTTAGCCATTTACATCAACCATTAAAGCCATATAAAGCCGGCAGATATCCCAGGCTTCCAAGGCGCTGATCCACAGGCTACTCTTCAAGAGCCGATGAATGCGCTGCCCGGCAGGGCCCTGGTGCTCCGGCAGCTGTAGCTGGTGCCAGGTCCACAGCGTCAAGCAACAGATCAGCGGGGCGAAGAGCACGGCCGTGTACCTGGAAGAAATGGTGCTGCAACTTTAGAAAATAACAATATATAAGTATAATATGACAATGTTTAAATATGATGATATGATATGATACTATATGATAATATGATAATATATATATAAGTATAATATGAAAAATAGAACACAAAGATAATATGATAATGATATATATATAATTATAATATATATATATATATAAACATGTTGGTATGATATGATAATATGATAACGATAATTATATATATAAGTATAATATGTTTAAACAATATGATGGTATGATATGATAATATGATAATGATGTATATATATATAAGTAAATTGTAAAGGTATCATAAAACCAAGTGAAATTAGAGTTATAAACTGTCATGGGATTATCAATGGGTATATCAATGGGTATACCTATGGTAAATTCACGCATAGGTGGGGATAGAATCCCTACAACAGTGAAATATAACTCACTTACTACTTGGATGTCCCAGGATCTTTGGTTTAAAATCCATAAGCCATATCATATATCACCAGATAACCTATGTTATAATGATAAAATCCATTTATCCCAGATAGTGGTGATATTCCATGCTTGTTACCGGGGCTATCACCCATTGAGTGGGATGCACCCCCAAGAAGGTGGTGCCGAGTGGTGCCTTCCCTGCCATGGTATATATGATGATATTATATATTATATATATATGTATAATAATCTATAAATATAAGGTGGTGCCCTCCCAGTAAACCATGATTTTTATATACAGTATATATATATATGGTTAATATGATGATGTATGCATAAAATAACCCATTCAAGAAATTAGAGTTTTGCTTGCTTAGCCATTCCGAACTGGGCCTTTACCTTGATCCAAACATGATCAACTCTGGTGGTTTTAAATGGGGCTACGTCATGATTTTCGTGACTATGACACGATTGTGGTTGAAAGGTCAAAAACTTGCTTGAAGAACATTCACATGGTGGTTTTTCAGATGGTTTGTCAGCACCTCAACTCAAGAGGTCATGGAATATTGACGGAATGGGTGGTAATGGATAATTAAACCCACTGAAGGATGGACTGGGGTGATGGGAAATCGGGCACCAGCCTTTTTTACTGTCACATATCTGCGTAGGTTCACGGGTTCACTGCACCTCTAGGTGGGCTGGAGATGGAGGGATCCAGTGGAATTATGTTCAAAAACTTGACAAATCACCTGGCGAATTGCCGAATTTACCACATATGAACTAGGATATACTGTAACTTGCCCGCAAGAGCGCTGGGAAAACACCATTGCTACATATTTTTTGGAAATTCAGCTTCAAATGGTGCGTTGTTTTGTTGATTTCCATTGCCCAATGCCATTGTTCGTTGCCGGATGGCAGACATGTTCCAAAGTTTCTGTTTACCTATTCATGCAAGATCCACATGCCATTTCCAAAGAATATGGATCCAAACATGTGCAAAAATCTCTGCATATACACCCTCTAAGTCAAATATGGCAGTGAAGAATCCTCCATTGATAGGCTTGTTTCCCAGAAAAAAAACCTCCGCCAAGTGTACTCAGCTGTGTAGATCGCTTGCACCGGCCATATCAGCAGCTGCGCCAAGGTTGACCGTGGTGGCAATAAACATCGCAGCTGCAGAATGCAGTTCAGCATCAAAATCGCTAGAATCCTGGCACGATCTCAACAATTCTGGGTTTTCCTGAATGCCAACCCTCTCATAAACGAACATAGCTATGGGAATCCATCGATTTTCCTTGGAAATCATCTACCAACGGTGGTTTTCCCAGAATTAGTTTACTGGAAGGTAATTACTAAACTTGTCCCCCGTCAAACAAGTGGGTAAAAGTAGCAAAGTTTCAAGGACACATGCATACGTACATTTATGGCAGTGCATAGGCATTTATTGATGGTCTAGGTACTTTAGACCAGCACTTCATCCAGGCAACCGACTGCACATTGTACATCCAGCTAGGCACCAGATTCAAGGGGATTTCAAAGGGATACTAGAAGATGTTCACCAATAGGAATGGATACGTGCAACTAATAACACAAAGAAAATGATCGACACGAAACAAATAAAGCCAAAGCGTACTAGTTCAAGTTCGTTTTTCTTCAAGGTAAGCCTTGAAGAAAAAACACATAAATCCGATGTTACATTTGCAGCGGCTACAACTTTTCAAACATGGACCCAGATTCACACTGGTTGGTGGTATACCTACACCTCACAAAAGTATGACTTCGTCAGTTGGGATGATTCTTCCCAACATATGGAAAAATACCCTCTGGTAAACGTTTACATAGCTATGGAAAGATCCACCATTTTTATGGTAAAATCCACTATTTCTATGGCCATGTTCAATAGCTTTTTGTTTGTTTACCAGAGGGTATCCCATTAATAATCCATTAATATCCATTAATAATCCATGAATAATCCACTAATAATCCATTAATAATCCAGTCATATCCATTAATAATCCGTTTATAATCCATTAATAATCCAGTAATAATCAATTAATATCCATTAATAATCCATTAATAATCCATGAGTAATCCATTAGTAATCCTTTAATATCAATTAATAATCCATTAGTAATCCATTAATAATCCATTCATATCCATGAATATCCATTAATAATCCATTCATAATCCATTAATAATTCATTAATATCCATTAATAATCCATTAATAATCCATTAGTAATCCATTAATAATCCATTCATATCCATTAATAATCCATTACTAATCCATTAATAATTCATTAATAATCCATTAATAATCCAGTAATAATCAATTAATAATCCTTTAATAATCCCATTAATAATCCTTTAATAATGCCATGAATAATCCTTTAATAATCCCATTAATAGTCCTTTAATCATCCCATTAATAATCCCATTAAAAATCCCATTAATAATCCATTAATAATCCATTAATAATCCCATTAATATCCATTAATAATCCATTAATAATCCATTAATAATCCCATGAATAATCCATTAATAATCCCATGAATAATCCATTAACAATCCATTAATAATCCATTAATAATCCATTAACAATCCATTAATAATCCATTAACAATCCATTAATAATCCCATTAATATCCATTAATAATCCATTAATATCCATTAATAATCCATTAATAATCCCATTAATATGGAAAAATAAAACGTGTTCCAAACCACCAACCGATTATGTCATGGTCCATTTGGGGATCGCCGAGCATCCCATTTCTCGCCCATCTTCGCGGCGGTCGCAAGGCCCGTGGCGCCAGCGGCACCGGGGCCGGCTCACGGCGCACGCCTAACGAGTTGGACCCCGCCGTGGCTTAGGTGTCATCATGTTGTCTCATGTATGTTCATGTTACTCCACTTCTATCATCGTTTTGAGTATATTCAATTATTCTGAATCTCTTTGGACGCCAAAAGCAGAACTGGGCATATTTTTGGCAAACAGAAAATCGGAGTGCAACCCATGATGGACATCTGAGGGACACTTCAATGGCCACTCCAAATCTGGTGCTACGCCACACTTCCCTGCACAAGGTTTGAGACACGGAGAGCACTCAAACCCCAGCTGTCTTCAGCTTCACAAAGAGGCACCCAAAGAATCGATCAAAATTTCCTGGGTTCACCTGAACCATCTCCAAGTTCTTTTCGATGATAGTTCAGGCAAGCAAGATAGTGTAAGCCTTTTTGTGGCTTCACGCACCCGCGTTTTGGCAGTTCCCAGGCCGCCTCGGAAAAGCTTTCAACTAGGAGGTTCTGATCGTTAACACCCACCAGAACCGGATGCACCCAGGGTGGATTGGTTGATCCCGTGGAGCTGCCAAGGTGAAGACGCATGTGCTGCTTGGAGTGTTGGATGACGCCAGTTACCAGCTTGGAGCGGTGGACCGACTCACTACCAAGTATCAAAGGATGAAGAACCAGTTGCCACAGTCAACTGAGTCTGCTAGCTAGCTCAGTTCAGCACTGATATGGTCCAATGACTTGGATGATTTGGGGGGACCTCCGTTCTAGGAAACTTTCATATTTTGGTGCTGATTGTTTCAATATTGTTTCTATAGATAGGATTGGTTAATGGTGGTATACTACTACTCTATAGTGCTATACTAGCTAATTTTAGATCTTCCAGTAGGATTTTGTTTCTTTGATACCTGTAAGGTTCTGGAAGGTGGTTTATAAACTAAAACCATCTAGTCTAAATTGTTGAATTATAATCCAGTTACTTGTCTCAGCTTCTAATAAAATATAATCTCCATATAAGGACAGAATTTGTAGACTGGGTGTTGGATGGGGGTCGCAACCCTTTCAACGCCAATCGTTGCGGATCAGGGCTCCTTAAGTAGGAAGCCATCAACCAGCGACTAGCTATGTTGTTAAATAATCTTATTACATTTCTCTAGGGATTTATCACCTGTCTTTGATGGCCAAACTCCCAACGTTTGCCGAATCCCAGCTCAGTGCCCGAGGGAAGAATCGCCCAGGGCCTCCTTTTCGGCACATCACGCACCGGTCAAGCTCCGCATGGCGGCATGCATCCGGCGGATCATGGAAGGGTCTTGGACGCATGTGATGTTCGCTTCACCAACTGGGGATGTAGAGTGTGGTTTGCATTGTTGCCTTTCACAAAAAAAGGTTCCCATGGTGGCGATGCCCAGACTGGCAGCGTGCATGACTAGCCGCGAAGCCGCGAAGCTCCAGTCGGTTTACCCAGGCCATGTCTGACTTCCAACTTCCACACCCAATGGAACCAGCCTACGGGCCCAAAAAGCTGCTGGTGGAAGGATCCAAGCATGGTCAATTTCCTAAAATACCCGTCTTGGTGTTTGAACAACCATGTGTGCTTCCTAGGTGTGGCTCAAACTTGAGTTACCAATACACCAACCGGACCATACTTAAACTACTTTTGCACATCAACGCTTCGAGCCAAATATAATGAGTGTCCATTCATGTCCATTCAGTATGCATTCAGTATCATTTCATATCTAATATTAATCTATCAATCCTTGGAACTGCTACACCATCATGACATATCCATGTGGCCAAGTGGATACAACTAAGATTGTTGGACAAAAAATCACCATTTCATCATTTCATGGTGGTGAATCCATGGTGATGACACGCACACTTCCGATATTCAGCTGTGAACTGTGAGCATGCGTGTCATCCTCCAAATCTCTAGTGGGCTACCCTCTGGTAATGTAACATAGCTATTGAAAATGGCCATTTATAGTGAGTTTTCCCATTAAGAATGGTGATTTTCCATAGTTATGTTAGTTTACCAGAGGGTATTCCAAAAATGTTTCACCCAGAATCGGAGAAAGGACACATCCGCACTCGCGACCAAATGCTGGTTATATTGCTGCTGATCATCAGAAATTATTGTTGCCGAAATCATGATGAAATTCGGTGTAAACCGGTCACTTTGCCGGTTTTCTTCCTCAAAATTCCGTTTCTGGTGGAATCCGTATCATTTTTTGTCGCTTTTGCCCATAAAAATCCAGCATTTTCGTTGCCTTTTCCGCCAAAAAATGGAGAAAAACCACCGAAGTTCACCCGCAACAACCGGCATCCTGGGCCCCGACGAGTCGGGCCGTAGGCGTCCTACGGTCCCATCCGCTGCCATGTCCAACAGCAGGAGGTCCAGGGCGGGCAGGCCCTGTATGGGAACTTTCAATGGTGATTTATGGTTATTTAGGGCACATTTCAATGGTTATTTATGTAGTTGTAAAGTATAGACAGTATAGATGTTTCCAATGGCACTTTCAATTTATGATAATGTAAATGATAATAGAATTCGGTCCAAAATTGATTTATTAGAATTGATTACCCCCAAATCATCCGAGTCATTAGACCAAAACTTAGTATTGAAACCTATGGTGACTCGAGGATCCCCCATTTTAAGAAACCTCCATTTTATTTTTATAAGGGAAACATTAATTTATAGTCAGTATTTAGTTCATCATGTTACATTCCCCTTAAACCCTCCGGTTTCATCATTGCCTTGCCTTGGCTGGACAACCCCCGAGCGGAAAATGGAGGTTTTAATGGAAAACAAATCTGTAAATGAGGGATCTTGCATTGTCATGGTTCATTCATTAAGCATTTAAATTAAAATCATTAAAATGGTAGGATCATATCCAACATAAATGACAATGATGAGAATGGATATACGATGATAATCAGATGGGTGTAGCTGAAAATCGGGCCACCGAAATGGACATCGTTTTCTATAGGGAACATGTGAGTTGTGTTTTTTTTTCTGATGTAGGGTGTTATCATTTTATAGGTGTCTACGCGAGGCTTACATTTCGCGTACGCGCGCACAATTTCAGCCTACGCGGAAGCTTGGGTGGGGATAGGTTGCCTACGCAGGCCTACGCGCGTGAGGTTTTATGCAATTTTTAGCTAGATATGCCTACGCGCCCACAGTCTCAGCAACATTTTCGTATGATTGCGCACCCTTTTACAAAGCTGTTCATGATCCAATGATCGCATTAAAAACAATGAGGAGGAAGAGGGCCATGTGCTTTAGGCAACTAGGCAACTACCTATTTCGCCAAAAATGCATCGAGCACGTTGAGCGCACGTTTTTTTTCCAGTCCGCAGATGACTCAAACGAAGAGGAGGAAGAAGAACTTGAAGAAGAAGAAGAAGAAGGAGAAGGAGAAGAAGTAAAAAAAGAAAAAATGATTCCGCAGGTGTAAGACGCTGGTTCTGCCGTCGCTTCTTGGCAGCAGGGAAATAACATATAATATTTTACGTTGCAGGAGCATGTTTGGGGGCATCCCTGGTCATGAGAGTTTTCGCCTACGCGTTGCCTACCTTTCGCCTACGCGGTGCCTACGCGGGGGAGCTCCTTTATTTTCGGATTTTGGCCATGCAAACTTCGAGGCTTGAGACTCTGCAGAAAAGGGAACGGAATAGTTCCATTAGCTTTTGTTTTTCAGCAAAACAGTTGCTATCTTCTAATTACTTGTGTTTTTTGGACAGCGGAAATTTCACATGCCGCATCGAGCTATACTCATTAGGCCCTTCAATCTTGACCCACAGGCTGCAAAATTCGTCGAATCCGCGGTCGCCTACGCGGCGTCTGCCGGAAAATGAAGCAAAATATGCCTACGCCAGCCTACGCACCCCAGCAAACTGCCTACATCCAACCATGTGCAGGTCAACTTTCATATAAATCTTTACTTGTAAAAAAAAACTCTGCTCATGTGGGGAACACGATGATCAGCCATTGGATTTCGGGAGTAACTCATGTTTTTTCCCAATTCGGTGATCTTCCACACGCGCAGTTGGTTGGTTTAGACGGACAGGAAAGCCTCTCTGGCCAGTTTGAACCTGTCCTTTTGATCGTGAGGCTTCCCCAGCATCCAAAAAACTTCAAACAACCAACGGCCTCCTCGCTGTCCATCAAGACGCTCTCATCCCTTCGGCACGAATGACCATTCGATGGGGTTTGGTAGAGGAAAAGTATGATGTCATTTATCATCATTTATCAAAGAAACACCGGCTAGCGTAAAATCGATTCAAAACTCATCTCATTGGATTAAACATATACTCACTCGCTCAATGTTTCAATTTATTCATGATTACCACCAAGAAACTACAGCTCTACCGCTCTACTTTCAAACATCCTCTCGTAGCCCCTCTACCACTGAGCTGCCCTACTGCATGCAGATCTCAGCCTGGCATCAAATCAAGAGGGCGGCCTGAGCCCTTGATCCCTTGAGCCTCAGTTTTTTTTCTGTAGCCTCACTTGGAAACTTTTGGACATTTTTTGGGGATATTTTTGGATATCAACACTTCCAAAGGGAAATTGATAACAACCACATTCTGATCCAATCCGACAGCACTTGTCCCGTGGGACCATGGGCCATCATGGGCCCAGCCCATGCGTAGAATCATTTCTCAGTTCAGATGGATTCAAACAATGAGTTGATCATTGACCATTTTACTGGGTATGGTGTTTTTTCATCATGAACGAGCTTATCATTTATCATTTAACTATCATTCCTCAGTTCAGTTGTGGGTCAACTAGTTAACAGGGTATGGTTTACTGTTTACTGCATGGTTCCCGGTCTTTATCATGTTCGACCCACACAACTCGATTTTTTGAGTTCCCAGAGTGAAATTTTGCCAGGTATCAAAGGAACAGCAGAATGGCTATCCGATAGAGCAATCCCTCAAAATGAAAGATCTCCGCAAAATGGAGTCATTTCACATCGATACCAGAAGGTCTTACACTGGCCATGGTATGACTTGGCCAAGAATTGCTGTCAATTTCAGACACAATGAGCGAGGGTAGCCATTCGCCCAGGCATGAAGATATCACATCTTTCTGCTGAGCAACCATGAGTGCAAAGAATGGAGCTTCCATCTGGGACCACCTTTACCGCAAAATTCAAACCTAGTCTGGACATGATTGGCAAAAGATGGCAATAGTCCGTGTTTCAGTCCGTGTTGACAGTTCAATATGTTTTTCAAAATTTCCGACAAGTGAGAAAGGAATTGTTTTTGTTTGGAAAAAATATTGATCCCAACGGATCCGGACCTACCGTAAGAGGGTGACTTGTCCCGTGTTAGAAAGTAATTGGATCAATGCGGGTACTACTATGCATGTATAAACATGATATATATATATATGGATACACATATATAAATATATATTTATGCATAATCTATCAATTGTGAAGCCCAAATGTCTGAGGTCATCTTAGACTTCGCCACACACAACCGACCATCCGCGCCGTGTACTGCGCGGCCGCTCCCTCCGCAGCCCCCGGAAGCTGAGGGATGGGGTGCACCTGGCAAACGGATGGCTTGAACAACGGACGGACGGACGGACGGACGGACGGACGGACGGATGGATGGATGGATGGATGGATGGATGGATGGGAATATATGGAGAATCTATGATAAATTCATGGAATATATGGAGAATATATGAGAATATACGAGAAATTAAAAGAATATATGGGAAGTCTGTGGGAAGTTCAGAGAATATACAACATGAAAAAAACACCATTAAAACCATAGATAAATCATCATCAACCATCTATTTCTATGGACCATGTCTACCATAGCCTTAAATAACCGCAGAGTAATTTGAAGTAGAGAACACGTGTATATATATATATATGCATACGACATGGTGTTTATATCATAACTAATCATTCAGATGATATTGATTTACTGGATATACTTGCAAGAGACCTGCAAACATTGAGGATGTGTGTAACTGAATGCTTTCAACGCCATTACTTGACGGAATATCATCTAAACCTATGGGCCCAGATTTTTCTCCCTGCGGCTTGCGCTGACCCAAAAAGTCACAACGGTAAGGTGTTCGGCCAAAAGCCAAGTTAATGGCAGCCATATTCCGGGTGGTTGTTAAACAATTTCCGGCTTAATACGCTATACATGGACTATTCAGGTTGTACATGGAATATATTGTTCAAAATGAGTACTGTACTGTACTGTACTGTATGAAGGTGTTCAAATATAATTTCAATAACAGTCCATATACTGACACGCCTCATCAAAAGTCATCCATTCGATAGGGAGGTGTGCTACCATCACTGTCTGCCACGTTGCTCGATAATTGTAAGTCATCCCTCCATCGCAACAGGTGCTGTTTGACTTAGTATATACATAGTCAATATACAAACATTTTACAATGGTATATAATTACTAACAATGGTATATACTAACAATGGATATATATATATATTAAATATAGTTATCATCAATATATCTCCATGGTATATACTAACAAAGTAGTATCTGGTGGAGCTTCATGTTCTGGTTCCAAGCCACGGATCATCACAGCATCCGATGAGTCACAAAATCATCAAGCCAGGGATCATCTACCGTCGATGTGCCACGGATCCATTTCTGCACCACGGTAGAGACATCATATCTTGATATCATTATATAATATTTCGACAATAAACATCTGTAATCCCTACTTAGCATTATGAAAAACAACCACTTACCTAGAAGAAGGACAGAACCCCGCAACTGCCACGTTAACCCTGGCTAGGGATGGCGAATGGCTAGTTGGGCCCCAATCGCAATGGCTTCTGGGTTTAACTGCTACAAGGTGCTTACCGGTGACGCCACTTATGTTCGTTGGTTTATGTTCACCCCGTGAATTAGTTAGATGTATCTAACAGACATCCAATCCTTAAGTCCAAAAAACCTACTCATTTCAACTTCATCCAACGTAGCTATCATAGATCAACATAGATCAACCAGAAATTCCCATTGCTCTTGGTGAAACATCCCTTCTTTGCTCGGCTGTTAAATCCCCGTCTTTCACCATTGTTCATGGTTCAATCCCCATGTTTCCCAAGGTTTTCACGTTTATTTGATTTTTAACGATGGCCATCAGATGGTTTTTTGTTGAGGTCTCCCGGACCTGGGGAACGAGAAAAACATGGTATGTACCCATAGGATCCATGGTGCTGGTATATTAATGCTAACATGACTGGGGTATATTGATGGGATCCATGGCACACCATATATAGCAGCACCATGGATCCGTCATGGGATATGGATGGTCCACCTGCGAGCCGGGGATCTTGCTGCTGTCGATCCATTCTTTGGCCAAGAGGAAGGACTCCTACGTCAGGGAGATAGGTCGCTATAAAAAAACATGGGCAACCAAGAAAGATGGGGGATTTACCCTCTGGTAAACGTTTACATAGCTATGGAAAATCACCATGTTTAATGGGAAAATCCACTATAAATGGCCATTTTCAATAGCTATGTTAGTTTACCAGAGGGTATATGGATTTCTACTTGATTGATGTTAGCTCAGTTGATGGGGTGTACAAACCAGCTTGTAACTCGGGGGCACCACATTATAATTAAAAAAAACCGTTGTATGGAATTTAAGCACCAATCATGGTGAGTTAATGGAATATCATGGGAATATATGGAATATAGTGGAATAATGGGAACAATGTGGAATATACAACCCCACTGGCTCTGTCTAACTGTCTAACTGCTTCCAAATATGTGTACATCCCCCACATCCACCATGGTGACTCGAACGGGGGGTGTTTAATATGAACGAGGGAAGGGACGACTGGCCCTTCTCCGGAGGTATTGGGATGCCATTGGAGTTGATATTGATATGATAACTATTACAAAAATGGAATGTATTGATTCAGATTGGTTAACCAAAAATATGATAATGATCAATATCCCCATGTAGTTTCAGAGTTGGCTATTAACGGTCATGATCCCCATTGATACAATGGGATAAATCACCATATTGTTGGGAATCATCACCGATAATAACCAAGGTACCAACCAGCGATCATGAGGATATTCATGGGGGTATTAACCATCAGCAAGCTGTCAGGCTTTGTCTGGAAAAGGTGGGACAAATCCGTGGATTTCACATGATTTCACTTTCTAAGGAAATCGGGATGTAACCAATGAATTTCATGATGCTCCATTGGATACATCGGTGTTTCTGAAAATGGGATGTACCACCAAATGGATCCAAATGGCATTTTTTCAAAAAATATGATGATCCATTGTGCTCCATTGGATACATCGGTGTTTCTGAAAATGGGATGTACCACCAAATGGATCCAAATGGCAATCTTTTTTTGCAAAAAAATATGATGATCCATTGGACTTTGACAAACCAATATATGATGATTCATGCAGCCGTTCAAATGGAAAGTGGAACATCATCGGCGACATGACCCAACTGTGCCTAGGGCATGTAGATTATGTTTTTTTTAACTATATGTGATTGTATGGAAATCTAAGGTACCCCAAGAAAACAATAATCTACAGATATATTACATAATCTATAGATATATTGGGACTGAGTCTGTATTGGGAGAAGCATCCTCTCAATTCGCCAGCTATGGGACTAACCTCAGATTTCTGGTGCCTGGCTATCCAAACGGTCGCCCGCGAAGAACACGTGCCACTTGTCGAACTGCAAGTCTGACGCAGGAACGGTGACACGGGAGAATGGTCATTGATAGTGGTTATGAATGATGGTTATAGTGATGGTTATAGTGGTTATAGTGATGGTCATTGAACTATCATGATGGTTATAGTGATTGATAGTGGTGATGAATGGTGAGACAAACCCATATTCTCTATGATGAATCACCATTATCACCACTGGGAATTCCAACGGTTAATCTATTCTTGAAAACAGATCCCATTTTTTTGATCATGGTGATTGATCATGAAATCATGGCATGAATCACCAGCTGCTTAGCTAATCCCAATGGGAAAAAGCAGCGATCAGCGATCGCCTTCCTGGCTCAAGATCTGCAAGGACTTGGCGATCAGCTTGGCGCCTTCGAAGTCCTACCGTGGCCGCGTGGCCAATGGCGCAGGCAGGGGGATGGTGTTGGAATGTGCATCCGACAGGTGGACAAACGGCCATTTAAGCATGGTAACTATATTCTATCTATCTTATCTATCTAATTATATCTATCTATTATATCGATCTATCTTGTCTATCTATCCATCTACAATATCTGTCTATCGATCTTTCTTTCTATCTGTTTATCTATCTGCAGTAACTTTCTATACAAATGTGAACCATGAGATTTGGGGGAGAGAACATGTTTCAGTTCCCGAACTCGCGAACTCGCGATGTTAGTGGCAACCAAGGATGGTGATACATATTATGCAAATAACTTGGAAAAAAAGATGAGAAACAGCAAATTCCGTGGGTTTTGTATCATTCTTAACCAACACATATATGTTCAAAACACAATCAATGTTTGAAACAGTGGGTTCCGAGCTATGGTCGTTCTCCAGCTGAACACTGGGACAAAATAACAACAGCCAAGAAGGATCGAAATGGAATATCCTGCAGCACGCTGGGCTAGTTGGTACTTGACCACCTATTCAATAAGATTGGTGTCTTGGGCATCATCTCAAATCAGGATGGAACGGCAGCAAACATGTTGGGCAGTTTTGTTGAAAGACTACCAATGTCAATTCCAAATTAGCACATATGTTCCAGGTTCCACATTCAATATTTTTGAGGTGAGAAGTTGGTGTCAGCTATGATGTTGGGAGATTATCTATATATATATATATTACCATCTGGTTATTTGACATAGCCATGGAAAATCACTTTTTAATAGGTAAACCATCTATAAATGGGCCACTTTCCATGGCTATGTTAAACAACCAGAGGGACCCCAGAGGGTATCATTTTTGCTGAAGATGCTTGCCTTCAAAGCAACACAACTTGGGGGACTGGACGAACAAAACCATGCAAAGGTCAAAATGCAGCCCAAAAACTCACCGCTTTGTTCATGCAAATGCCTCGTCCAGCATACGCGGTGTTCCGACAGATCCAACAGTGCCTCAATGCCAACCCAGTGGTCCGCCGTCGTTGCCATCTCCCAGATGTGGAGCAGGTGGTGCTGCTCAGTGGCTCAGTGGCTCGGCCGCAGGTTTGGAACCGGCTCCAGGTTTGTCGTGTAGGCTCCGTAGAAAGGAGCTGCAACCTTCCCTGAAAAAGGCCCGCTATGGGGGAGGAAGGAGGGAAGGAGGGAAGGAGGGAAGTAACTCTGATAAAACCTAGAGACCCTCATCTGGCAGGTGGAGAAAAAGAACAAAATCTTGCCTCCGGTAATCAAACGTGGCTTGATGGAAACTTCCCCCATTTTGTCCGATGCTTTTTTTCCAGCTGCAAATTACTGTTTTCACATATGTTACTGTGTTACTAAAGTGTGTTCCCATTGTGCACCTCCATTACAGAAGATTTTCCCATTGAAACCTCCATTGATAGACTGGTTGGTGGTATACCTACCCCTCTGAAAAATATGAGTTCGTCAGTTGGGATCATGAAATTCCCCATATATGGAAAAATACCCTCTGGTAAGCGTTTACATAGCTATGGAACATCACCATTTGTTATGGGAAAATCCACTATTTCTATGGCCACTTTCAATAGCTATGTTTGACATAACCAGAGGGTACTCCATTCATGTTCCAAACCACCAACCAAATATAACTGTTCAACATTATTGTTCAACTATTATCAACTATAAAAGTCATGTTCCAAACCACCAACCAGATATAACTGTTCAATATTATTGTTCAACTATTATCAACTATAAAAGTCATGTTCCAAACCACCAACCAGATATAACTGTTCAATATTATTGTTCAACTATTATCAACTATAAAAGTCATGTTCCAAACCACCAACCAACTGTTCAATATTATTGTTCAACTATTATCAACTAAAAGTCATGTTCCAAACCACCAACCAGATGATTTCCTCATTTAAAGCCTCCGTATTTTTACCCAGCGCTCATTTCCCGCCGCTGTTGCCCGGAAGCATCAGCCCTTGGAGGTGGCCTTACCATCCTTGGGCCCAAAACTTCCAGGAACGCACAAGGAGAAGGCGCCCTTCTCCTCGATAGCCGTACCTGGGGAGAAAAATCGAGAAATCTGTGGATTTCGCTACCAGATTCGAAAAAATGGCAATGACAGAATGATATGTTTGTCATCATATCGCACCGAAAAAGGATATATTGTATGTATATACTAACTACATATATATATACATATGTATGATACAATATGATCAGCCCTGCCAAACCCACATTTTCGACGGAACACGGGACTGTTTGTCACCATAGAGAAAAAAACAACACATCCCCCAAAAAAATGTGACTTCCCTTGGGAAAATTCGGATCAACATGCTAAAAAACCATTGGATTTGGTATCAGATGGGCCATATTTTGGCCAAATTCCATCGACCCACACACCTACAGCTGTGAACGTGACCCCTGACGAAGCAATGACAACAAGGCCGCGCAGATCTTTCAGCTTTTCGAGCTACCCTTGGGTTTTGAGGGCTGCAGCGATCTCTAGCGTATGTACATGGAGGGTTTCCTAAAATGGGGATACCCCAAATGGAATTGTTTATAATGAAACATCCTATTAAAGTGGGATGATTTGGGGGTACCCCCATTTTAGGAACCCCCCTATGGAGTTTTTGCTACTGGCAACCGACCCAAAAGAACGCTGAACATATTGTTGCAAAAGAGTTTCACTGTCACCACTTGGCAATTCCAACTCCTCCAAAGCCAAGAAAACGGGCACCAAAGCGGACCGGGTGCTGATATCACTGTTATCATCTGGGTTGATAGTTTTGTTTCTTGTGGTTCATATACCGTGGACAATCATATACAATCATATTCCGGTTTGATTAGTTGCCATCCTTTAATGCATTGGTTTAAGGGAAAATTTGCAGGTTTTACCCCGCCTATAGGGGTTTCCTTCAATGGGACCATTACCCCCAATAGCTCTGTTATTGTTGTCCCCCGTCCCCCGTCCCTATTTATCTATGTTAAAAATGAAGTATGAAACGGGCTGGTGGTTTCAATATGTTAAAATCCATTCCCAAAAACATGCTCGTCATCTCAACCAATCACCCCAACCAGGACCATGGTTGAACAAACAATGAATATCTATAATTTGAAAGCCTCAACGAGAAAAGTATGTTCAGAAAAAAAGTCAGCATCTCAGGAACCGATCCATTGGAGGTGCCTACCATATATAAGGCCTATGTTTTAGGCCTGTGTAAGGGAATATACCCACAAAATATGGCCTTATATATGATACAGTACCTCCATTTTAGGATCCTGAATTTCCCATTGATCCAATCAATTTCCCCATATGTTTGATCAGTTGCCATCCAAAAAAACTCTTCTGTGGACCTCGCAATGACACTTGAATCATTTGACAAGAGCAGCGCGCAGCGGCAGGTCGTCCGCATTCAGGGCTCGGGCAATTTTTGAGGCATGGATTGATTAGCCTCTGTCATTCCATCGAACGTTGCTGATCAATTGCAATGTCTAATGGGATAATTGAGAAGAATGCATCTCTAAAGTGGAGATTTTCCATTGCTAGGTTGGATTATCAGAGACAGCAAACAATTGCCATGATTGCAATCAATGAGATTCAATCAGATTTAAATAGTCTGAGCTTGGAGGCACAGGTTGGAACCAGGAATTACCAACTCAGGGAACATGTTGTACATGGTTTAGTATGGTTTAGTTTATTTGGAAGAATTATCCGACTTTACAAACCATAGTGACAAGAACGCCACACTGTGCACACTGAATCAATGCAGAACTTGAAAAAAAATGCTAACTGTTCATATGGATATAGGTCGCAATTAGCAGACTCCAAACTGCATGGTTTACACAATATCAATGGATTGGTTTAAGGGAAAATTCACAGGAAAACTCCATATTTAATGGGAAAATCCATGGTTTCCTGTAGATTTTCCCTTAAACCAATCTATTGACAATACTACAAAAGCACTTTACTTGACTCAGCATCCAACACATGGTGATGTATACAAGGTAAGGATGGTCGGAAAGATCTACGACCGGGACCCCCCTTGCCTAACCCCGGTGGATGCATCATTCACCTGTCGTCGCTGAAGTGGACATTCATGGGGATTCACGTCTTCAAAAGGTGACCCCCCAATAATGCAAGATGTAGTACATGTTCTACTTGGTGGTTTCAACCCCTTTGGAAAATATAAGTCAGTTGGGATGATTATTCCCCATCATATGGAAAAATGTTGTTGTTGGTTCATAAGCCCGTACTAAGCGTCTGAACAGAAGACCTTACTAAACAAACCTTAAACACTTGATTTTGGAGTCACCTTCTGTGGGGAAGTCCCAGCGGCTCAGCGTGATGAACTGGCATAACTGCTTAACTCTCTGGCCGCTTTAATGTCCTCAGTGCATCTCTCTGGAAACAAAAACTTGGCAGCGCATGACGACCCAGGCTATGATTGACATGGGTGGCCATCCATTCATTTCATTTGCTATGTATATGAATGAATGTATGTATGTTTGTTTGTATGTATGTGTATGTATGTGTATGTATGTGTATGCATGTGTATGTAAGTGTATGTATGTGTATGTATGTGTTTGTATGTGTATGTATGTGTTTGTATGTGTAAGTATAAGTATAAGTATATGTATATGTATATGTACATGTATATGTAAATATATGTATATGTAAATGTACATGTATATGTATATGTAAATGTATATGTAAATGTATATGTATATCTGTATATATGTGTATATGTGTATATGTGTATATGTGTATATGTGTATATGTGTATGTGTGTATGTGTGTATGTGTGTATGTGTGTATGTGTGTATGTGTGTATGTGTGTATGTGTGTATGTGTGTATGTGTATATGTGTGTATGTGTGTATGTGTGTATGTGTGTATGTGTGTAGGTGCGTATGTGCGTATGTGTGTACGTGTGTATGTGTGTATGTGTGTATGTGTGTATGTGTGTATGTGTGTATGTGTGTATGTGTGTATGTGTGTATGTATGTATGTCTGTCTGTATGTATGTATGGATGCATGCATGCATGTATGTATGTATTTATGTATGTATGTATGTATGTATGGATATATGTATGGATATAGATGAATCTATGACTGTATGCAGCCATGGCAAGTCTTAGGGAGCCCACCACAACATGTTGTTGTTGGTTGCATGCTACATCTCCCTCCGCTACTTTGAACGAAACAAAACCGTAACAATAACTTGCCATTTCACCAAAGGGACAAACCAAAACAAGCTCGAAGAAAACACAACTTTTGCCCAACACGTTTGCAGAGAAATAAATGCTCTAAATTTTGATGGTTAATCACTATTTATTCCAACCATCATGGGTATAAACTTGACGGTTAAATCATCTTCCATGGTATCAGGCACACCCAAATTATCTTGATGGTCATATATCCAAGATACCGACTATATCCGATTACACCTGACACACCCATAGATCCCAACAATCAACACATTATATTCAGTAATATCCCGTTCTATCAAGTTATATCCGCTTTATATCCTCAGTTAAATCACCATGGATGTTTTTGTGGGTGAGTTTTCACCATTTTACCATGTTTTTTTGTGTGGCTTCACAGATGAATTCCGTATACAACAATATTGCCAGATGGTATTCTCCGTATATTCCCATATAGTCCTTGAATTCTCCACATATTTCCCATATTTTTTTGTATTGTATTAGTATTTAAGTATATATATATAATAAATATATAATATTGTTTTTGCTACATTTCCCATACATTCCTTGAAGTTATCATATATTTCATATATATATATACACATATTCTCCATATATTTCTCATCCAGCGTTTCTTCAAGCCATCCACCAACCCAATCTCCAAGGCTCGACAGTGGCTGGTCATCCATCCTTCGTGCCTCGTGGACATCTTCGAAGCGAAGTTCCAAGTCTTTGCCCCGCAGCGTTTTTGGGTCGCGAAGAAACTCCTTGCGCTGGTCGATGGTCATTGGATTGCCGCATCTCTATGAAAATGGTACCTCATCAACCATCATTTATGACCCGCATCTCTATATTTATCATTTGTTCTTTTTTCCAAGGGGTATGGGATTACTGGTGATTTGTTATATTTCTTCGTGAGAATTTTACTTTTTTAGGTGGTGCCCACAATTATTTACGTCATGAGCGAAAGGTGATGGCATTGAATAATTCCACAGTGAAATTGGAACATCCGTCCTTGCAAGGAAGTCAGAAGGACACGTGGGCGCTGTGGGCGCTGGCGCTACACGCGGAGCTGCGCTCATCGCCCCAGCAAAGGCCCATGGTCGCAGTATTTATTCATGTTTTATTCATTTTTTGATTGTATAATCATGTCTATTCAAAAGTCATTCATGACCAAGTATAGTTGTATTGTTTATGCATCTTTGGCATAAGATCCCTTACCTGGAAAACAAGTTGTTTTGAACATGCAACCTGTAATGTTCAAACAAGATCCAACATGGAGGAAAACAGAAAAGATATCAACCGAAGGATTTGATTGTGGCAAGTTGGCACAGTTCATCCCACAAACGGCCTAAGAAAACTGGGACCTGGGCCAAGCAACAGAAACTCCCCAAATAACCAGGATACTGAATGGTACTTCAATAAACAATTTTCAGGATACGATAGTTCACTATATTATATATACCCATATGCTCCATGTATGGAATATTTACCAACATTTGCCCTAATAATCGCCCAAATGTAGGTAAATATACCATACATGGAGCCATGGTGCTGCTATATATGGTAACATTTACCATCAATATAGCCCCAATGTTAGCATATATACCAGCACCATGGATCCTATGGGTTATATATCATATTATAATATTATATAAGTCAGCTGGGTAGGAAACTTACCGACATCTTTGTCGCAGTCAGGTGGGCCGAGGCTGTGTGGTCCCCACTGCCAAACGGCTGGCTGACCTGTCTGACTGTAAAACATGAAGCCGTTGTGAAACTTGGTCGGTTTTCGGATGTTTGTTTTGGGGGGAACCTGTTACCCTCTGGTAAACATACAAAAAGCTATTGAAAACTGCCATTTATAGTGAGTTTTCCCTTTAAAAATGGTGATTTTCCATAGTTACGTTAGTTTACCAGAGGGTATTTCCAATGGTTCAAAGTTCAAGACCAAGACCTATCCCCCTTAGTGTTCAAATCGCCCTGTGACGGGTGAGGCGATTTCCACGGTGCAAGGCACCATTGGTTCTTGAGTTTGAGAGGGATGTCCATCTCGTAGTAGAAGTGGGCCAAACAGGTATATGGACAATCCCAAAGCAAAAAACAACAACAATCCATCTGAGAAGTTCTGGGGGCCAGACTTCAAATGTTTGACCCATCACCAGCCAGTTTGTGGTTGAATCCCATGCTATTCCACGGGATGTCCCCACATTTTATAGGCAAAATCTCCGAACTTCAGTGGTTGAACATCATTGTTTCACATCTTAGGAGTTGAAAAAATACTAATTTAGTTCCTGGTTCGACAAACATCCTATTTTGCTTGGGTGAAAGGTTCGTTGAATAAATTCATATTTTGGGAGTTGAATATCCCTTTAAAAATTTGAGTAATGTGTTATTCTTGAGTAATGTGTTATTCAGTGCCTTGGACATCATTTTTTTTTTATCTCAGCGGTTGACTTAGCAAAAATGGTTCTGTTGATTGGCTGAAAATCCTGTTTTGGTTCTTACCACATCGTATAGTAATGCAACATGGCACAACACAACTACGGACAATGGCCTATTTAAATCGATGACTTACCAAAATTTCCAGAGGCTGTTGAATATATTAACTGAAATTCAAATACAAATTCATGTATATACATATATATATTACTTTATTACATTACATTACATTACATTATATTATATTATACTGTATTATATTTGTATATTACATTATATATGTACATGTAAATGTATATGATATATACCATACACAATGATTTGCCTCTATATATTATCATATGTTCCATATTTCAGATCCGTTGATCTCTCTTTCTCCCGGTCGGGGCGCATGCCAAAGTCGCCGTTTCTTCCTGGCGCGCGAAGAAAGCGCTGGAAGCGCTCGGGTCCACGGCTGTAAATGGGATGAATTAACTCCTGTAACTGAGGGGAAAAAAAAACATGGATATACCCTCCAGTAAATTAACATAGACCCTGGTAGATAGAGGTTGGAAGATTAGTTTCCTCTAAAAATTGGTGATTTTCAGGGTCTATGTTAATTTACCAGAGGGTATCATGGATATAACTTTGATAAAACAGTTTAATGGGATAATAACTATAACTAAGGTGATATATCATGAAATAATTGGTGATATATCATGACATAGTCCCATTTATAACTGGTATTTCGGGCCGTAGCTGTATTGAATCGGTTTGAATCGCATATTATGGCGTAGCGAACATGTTGATCGGAGGGAACAAAAGAAAATGTGTGAAATGAAAAAAATGACTATTAGACTATGTTAAGAGCTGGCAAGATAAATTAATATAAATGGGCTAATCTATACTTGCTAAATCTTGCTAATATATGTATAATTGTATATATGTATACATATATATATATTAGGATGCAATTAGTTAGGATATCCTAAGCGATATATCTATGTTAGTATTAATGCTAATCACTTAGGATATTGTTTACCGTTTTCACTTGCTTGGGGGCCTTTAAACTAATCTAAAACCAACCGCAACTGCATGTAGAAGTCCATTAACAACAGCCAGTGCGCTCCGCTACCTGAATGGCAAAGCAACCCGGACTCTCACCATCAGCCACATCACACAATTTGCTCACTACCATGTCATGCGCCTGCAATTGAACTTCCTGAATTGGGAGTGGTACTCTTGAAGGAGATATATATATATACATCCATAAACTTGCAGGATATGTGTATTCTTATATATATATGTATGCCTCATCCCCCCTGCGTTCTTGGTAGCTTCGTCCCCAACCCGTTCTTCCCCTTGGATCCCCCACTGCGATGGTTTCCAACACTTCCTCCTCGTTCGGCAGAACAATCACCGTTCGCCGTCCATCCAAGGTGAATTCACTCCCTGTGGCTGCCAGGGCGTTGTGCAAAGATCTTCACATATCATCTAATATGGGGGTTTCCATACATGGGGGTACCCCAAAATGGATGACTCAATCCATGAAGGATCCTATCAAAATGGATGATTTAGGGGTACCACCATTTTAGGAAACTTCCATAAATAAAAAAAAAAAGTATATATATATCTAATATAATTAATATAATATAATATATATATATATATTTATTATATTATATATTATATATTATATATTATATATAATATATATATAATATATAATATATAATATATAATATAATAAATATATATATATATATAATAATATTATTATTATTATATATATATATCAAGAGAACAAACTGGGCATAGGGTTCTAAGTTCCAAGATCGGCTGGATTGGCCAAATTAATGGCCGAAGGTTCTCCTCTTTGCTGCTGCTGTAGTCTCGGCCGGTTGAACACGAAGAATCTCCTTTGAAAGCGCGCTGTACTTCGTTCTCTGAGAGCAAGACCAAATCAGCTGATGAACTGGCAAGCGTTGGCAAACTTGAAAGACCACCATTGTTGCTGAGTGACAAGCAAGATAATACCCAGTATGCATGTGGAAAGGGCTTTCGCGCAGGAGCTTGCGAATGGTACGCCGCGAAGACGGCCCAAGTCTTTGAGTCGTCCTACACCTTCCTTCATTACACGTGCAATGGAAGATGATAATTCAAAGCAAATCCACAACCAAATGGTACCAAATGTAAGGCCGTTTAAGCAAACGGTTTCCCGGAGACTGTGAATTGAACAACCTTTTTTTTACGGATCTGGGTTCTTTGAGCTCACTACTTAAGTTATCCAAATGCCCATCTCATTGCATGTGTCGCACCAAAATTTTCAGACCTCGCGGATAGTTGTTCCATGTGCACGGAAAAGGCCCTAAACTACTAAATCATCCAATTTAACGACTTGACCCAACGACTTGACCTAATTCCTACCCAATGGTTTTAAAGTTTAAAAAGTTCAAAGTTAAAACCACATTCTCCTCATATGAGTTGGATAAACCATAATTAAACATGGATAAACCACATATAATCCATAGAATCCATAGAATCCATATATGGATGGTTTATCTATTGCTTTGCTTAGATAAATTGAGCTATCCCTCCCTTTTACAGACAATCCCCCCAGGACTCACCAATGACGACTGAGTGACTACTGATATGTCCCAGTTGCTAGTTAGCTGCTAGCTGCTAGTTGAATCCCCAGCTTTGATGATCACCAAGAATCAAGCGTGGCAATGGACATTCCACAATTTAGAGATGTTCCGATTGAATCCATGTACCCTCTGGTAAATCACCATTTTTAATATGTAAATCAACTATCAATGGGACATGTTTAATAGCTATGTAACAAATTACCAGAGGGTATAGATATGTAGTTCGGGGATTTTCCAGCCACGTTTCATTACCAGAGGGTATTGATCCATCTCCAAATGCCAGGACTTGGTTTCACAGCCGGTGAAAAATCCCACAAGTTCAAAATAGACAGTTCAAGAGTTAGGGACTCCAAAGAAACAAGCAACTGATCCAAACAACTGAGGATATAAACTTCTTTGGCTAAAACAGAAAAACATGTGTGTGATTCCAGGAGAAATAGATGTGTATACATATATATATATATATGTATTACATATGGCCCAGCATGTTTTATTTCCAGGAACCAATCCAACGTCAGGGTACCATTCTTTGACACATACCCGTGATTTCGTAATATCGTCTGGTAAATTCGTCCCACTGACCACAGGCCATGTACCCTTTGTGAATTTAACATAACTATGGACTAAATAAGTGATATGTTAAATGGGAACTATATTCAAATAGGTTAAATGGATCTAAATGGTATGTTATGGATTGTTATGGTATGTTAATTAATATTCAATGGGGAATCATCGAACTAAATGGGCCAGCTAAATGTTATAGCGATGTCAAATTGCAAATCTATCCACTCAAATGTTTGCTGTAAACACTCAATATGCCCATGTTTACTGCTTGAATCCACGCGGACACGATCCTGATTTGGGTCCATGAAAATACCTAATGACGTGACCCATTGACTGTGGGTCATGGAGAACACCATGGCACTGACTCCAATTCCAGATACCCTCCAGTAAATGAACGCAAACCTTTGAAATTGCCGATTCTATGATTGAAGTTTCCCTTTCACCAAGCTCTATATGGCAGTGTGTGAAAACCTTGTACCCCTGTAGTTCACATCAAAATAGCTGGGATTTATGGATGTTCATCCCATTAAAAAGGGTATTTTCATAGGTATTGATCCATAGCCATATATGATAATGGATGGTTGAATCCCATATAAATGGATGATAAATGGATGATAAATGGATGATAAATGGATGATATTGGATGGTTGAATCCATATCTAACCATCATCGGCCTTCGACCAGGTCACCCAGCTTGAAATGCCCCGCTCGAGCCCTACACGCCTGGTGCGGCTCTCCGAGCGCTCCGCGGAGCGCGACCTGGGAGGTGATGACCCCATTTCCCTGCAGACCCCCTTAAGTTAAAAGGTGGTGCCCCCGTTTTTATACCGTTTTTTGTTCAATTTCCTCAATAATGAATCCCACACTATACAACTATATTCTATGATACCATCTATATCTATATCGTATATCTATATCATCTACAATAATCTGGAGGCCTAAGTCATGGGGCTACCTGCATCCATAGATCCGCCTCGCCACGTCGTGCTCAAGGTGCATAGGACGGTGCTCAAGGTGCATAGGACAGCAGGGGTCCAGGGGCATGGCTGGTACCTGGCTTCGAGGATAGCTGGTGAATGTAAATATTCCACCAAAACCATGGGAATAACATGGGAATAACATGGAAGAATGACATTTGTTGACACATCCTCATTTTATGAAATGATGCTAATGACACTATGGATAAGAATGTCTAGGATACTGCAACGGCAAGTGTAAAATATTGTGTGTATATATATATATATCTGCAAACAACTATCCATTGCTAGAATTAAACCCAAGTTCAAGGGATTATTTATCTGAACAAATCTACATTTGGGAGATGAAGATTAAAATATGATGAAGATATCAAATGATATCATAATCATAATGATGTCCGGCGTCCCGTGGCTTTTGACAACTATCCCTTGGCAAAATGGCCGTTGATAAAGACATTATGAACATGCTAGAACCAACTCAGTGATCATACCCTCTGGTAAACTAGCAAAGCTATTGAAAATACCCCATTTATAGTTGATTTACCCATTCAAAATGGTGGTTTTCTATAGTTATGTTAGTTTACCAGATGGTAAAGTTTTGCAACATCTCCACACTCATCAGCGATTCTTGATATCTGATTAGCACAGTGTTCATTCGGTCATCTGGGTCGTCTGGGCGCTTCTGACCCGAGCGATGAATTCTCCCGATGCGAATCCACAATCCACGATGGATAAAACCTGTGAAATCCACTGATGAAAATCATTTCAATGAAGATCGACTTTGGCTATGAATCTTATTTTCATTGGATTGGTTTTGTTGGGAAAATCTTAACCGGAAACCATGGTTTTTACCATTAAATATGGTGGTTTCCTGTAAATTTCTCCTTAAACCAATCCACTGATTTTTAGTCTTATCTTTGCACCATTTCAATGGCACCATTCTTTCGAAACCAGTGCCGTCCCAACCGCACCGCACGCGCCTCGGCGGCCTTGCGCACCCTGGCCAGCCGCAGTCCGCGGTAGCCGCGGTAGCCGCGGTAGCGACTGGTCGAACTCAGCGACTGACGAAGATTCATGGTATAGTTACAATGTGAGGCCCCCTGCCACGATAGCGTTCAGTTGGTGAACATAACTCCAATGTCACTATGGTTTATGGATGTTTATGGTATTTATAACGAACTAGTTACTGCGAATCTAAACCAACTTATATCTTGGGGGCCTCACATTGTACTAATTGGTGGTATACCTACCCTGAAAAATGATGGAGTTCGTCAGATTGGATCATCATCCCAACTATGAAAATAAAACATGTTCCAAAGCACCAACCAGAGTTGGTTCAGCAAGGATACATAGATACAGTAGATAATATGTATAGAAAATTTTGATAATAGTTCAACCACATGAACTTTGCGAAGGGATTGATGGCATATGTATAGACATGTGTAGACTGTATAGATAATAGTTCATGCGGGTTTGTCGAAACGGGTTGGTAAGCGGGATGAATGATGACTTTAATGGGGAATGAATTGGGGGTTTAATAGAATATAACTCACCAAGTATGACAAATTTTGGGTAGCCACGCCTCGTATACAGCCGGACGGTTCACCAGGACCAAAATGGAGATACAATGACTTTAAATCGATATCGCTGTGTCTAAGAATTGTCTTCGTTGTTTTCATTGTTGTTTCGATAGGGATAACATGGGATGTTCATGATTAACCAGTGGATTTAGGGTTACAAAGTTTTCAGACAAACCCTTAAATTAGTAATGCAGATGATAAAACCAAATTGCCGATCATGTACTAGCTTTAAACATCATTCCAAGAATCGCACAACACCTTGATAATAATAACTTTCTGTTCTGATAAACCCAATTGAAAGACACCCCATACCTATACCCATAGACTCCCCAGTCCCAACTCTCTCGAAGGAGTATCAATCTCGGAATGATGGCCCTTGTTTGTAATTGGGGCGTCCCATTTCAGTGGCCATTTATCACTTTGAAGGGTTGGCCCCTCTACTTATCAGCCAGGGCTTATCAATGCAAACTTAGCAATAGACTCTCTTGTTGATGGGGGACTTTCATTTTCCCTGTAATTATGTAGTTGTTCATCATCATCGCGGATATTTGTTGAACAACCTAATTACATTTTTGGGCTTTCATCGCTGTCGGTGTTTGGATGTGTTTGGTTACTTCTCGCATGGTGATAGGAATTCCAAAAGATCTTGTGCCAGAATTGACCCCAACTGTTTCGGCAAGTGTGCCTGGAGTGGCTGCACGAAGCGAGAGATGCGAGAGCAACATGACTCAAGTTCTTGGAATTACATAAGTCCTGCCCTGCGCAATCATTCCGTTGTGTAGTAGTCATTTTTCCGGCAAAAACGTGGGTGCCTCCGCGCTGGCATCTGCGTTTACAGAAATCTAAACTAAGAAATTGCTGCCAGTTGTCAGTTTTGTGGTCGTTTTGGCTCCGGTAAATTCCAAGACTTTAGTTGGATCGAAATAAACTATATACAGTAACTAAAGCAATCTATGCTATGCCGATGCCATCTGCATGTGTTCATCTCGATATACACCTTGATGTCTGATGTATGGTGAGCTGTAGCCCAAGCTACGCCCACAAAAAGCCTGAGTCGACACGTCATGGCTCATACTTGGAATCGGAACACTTGCCAACAACACAGTCTACCCTCTGGTAGTATATCCTGACAATGGAACATCCCCAAACTTATAACTTGTACCCTCTGGTAAACTAACATAGCTATTGAAAATGGCGATAGAAATAGTGGAATTTCCCAGCTAAAAAATGGTGGATCTTTCCACAGTTTTTTGTAAACGTTTACCAGAGGGTAGATGATTTACACAACCGATTTTCTCCAGTCTAAAGTGCGTATCCCAGCCAGCTGTGATAACCAGGCCTGGCAAAATGGTAGCATTTTTAACCTGATTGGTGGTGCAATAGCCATCTTGAAAAGTATGAGTTCGTCAATGGGAAGGATGACATCCCATATATGAAATGGAACATAAAATTCATGTTTGAAACCACCAACCAGGAACACATTTGAATCTTTGGCTCAACCCTTACGACCTCCCAAATTCTTTCGCTTTGCAACACTCAGATGTCATCCCTGGATGTGGATCCCAGGCATTTGGGAAGTGGCTTTTCAATCTCATATTGTATATAATCCAATCATAACCCAGTCAAAACCCAGTTATTTATATAATATTATATTATAATATTATATATACACACTTTGTAGGTTATATGATCCTTAGGTATCCTTAGGTTATAGTAACAGTTTTGACAGTTTTGATATCTGGTATCCTAAGGTTTGAATCGTCACCACTCGATTTCCCGCTTGGGATGTTTGGGAGCCCCTTTTTTTGCCCCAGTTGGGACATCCGAAATTGACAAATCCCAAGTTTGAGTTATGTAATACTTGAAATTATACATCCAAAATACAACGATACTGGTTTGTATACATCCAAATTCAAATTGAAGTTGATCATGTACTTGAACAGCTTACTGTATACAAATATCATCCAATATCCTACACATCTCAGGGATGCAACAAAAATATCATTCAGCAAAGGGGAGTAGACTCTGATAATTTCCGAGATAGACTCTTCAACAATGGAATGGACATATCAATAGCAAACACCAATCCAAACAAAAGTGCGAGCAACCAGGAATTGGGTTTGCTCCAAAATATGGCCCTGATGTTTGTGAAACACTTCACTCCAAAACGAAAATCCATCGACATGACCATCTTGAACCAACATGGGTATGAGCCAAACATGTGAGATGTCCATACGGACAAACATGAGACGATCAATTAGTCGTGATCCCCGTCATCAAACACATATGATTCCGGTTGGTGGTGCAATAACCCATCTTGAAAAATATGAGTTCGTCAATGTAAAGGATGACATCCCATATATTATGGAGTGATTAATGGTGATTAATAGTGATTAATGGTGAATAATAGTGATTAATAGTGATTATCCCATAATATGAAATGGAAAAATAATCCAAATGTTCCAAACCACCAACCAGGACTGTATAATTGCAACACATGTTATCCTTTTTTCACTGCGAACAGCGGGAAGCTGCACATTTCACCGTCGCAGCACGGGAACGCCTGCCAGGCAACAGCAAAGAACGAATCACGACGCCATGGCTTCAAGCAATGTCTGACGAATCATGGACACAAAACCTAACTTTAATGATGGTTTAATGGCATTTAATAGGATCTAATGGGAATTCAATGGCATCTGGTTGGTGGTATACCTACCCCTCTGAAAAATATGACTTCGTCAGTTGGGATCATGACATTCCCAATATATGGAAAAATCATCCAAATGTTCCAAACCACCAACCAGGTTTATATTTGGCGAAATATGATGAAGCATCTGGATGTAATATATATATATATATATTGATTTTGAAACTGCATTATAGTGACCATCAGAACCTCTTGACCTCCGTCGGAACCCCCCGCAGGTGGAGATTATTTTTCCATATTTTACGCATCCAAAATGGGATTTTAGCTGGGAATTCCGTCCTACAGGTCAAATTATTAGAGTGCAATGCACACGAATGCAATGCAAATAAATGCAACACATCTACGGAAATCCTTACGGCATATCTGACTCAAGCTCGACAAAGATTTGAATTTTGGGACATCTACCACAGATTTTCTGATTCATATAATTCGTCGTCAGCAAATCCCAACTTGAATGTTTCAGGGCCATCTTTGCGCTCTTTGCCCCACCTTATGTGAGGCAGTTTGAGACTAACCAAACATCACCTCGATTCTGGTATCTCACTCATATGAGCAAAAATTAGCATAGGCCCAGCATCAATAGCTATGGATTCTCGCTAAACTATTAACAATTCACCACCAAACCAGTGGGGTCACTTGAGAACACAACACCCCAAGATACCTCCAAAGTTGGCCAACTTTAGAGGTGAAATCACCAATTTCCCATTTCCTTCTATGATTTGCGTACAATAGGTTGGCGCAATCTTACAAACAATGCAGCAACCTTAGAAAAACTGGTGCCCCCAAGCTACAAGTTAACCATAAGTTGGCTTATAAATCACATTAACTATAGATATTGCAACGATTTTTCCACCCTAATCCCCTATAAACCAACTTAGCCAACGAGCTGGGCTGGGGCACCGGCACCGGGCAGCATCCGCCCAGCCTAGCCATCGACTCACTTCCGCGATCTGAAAGAACTTCCGAGAGACCTCGGGTCCCGAGTCCCACCGGGGATTTCAACCCATCCCATGGCTATCATATGGATCAGATGGGGATATCATGGGGATACATCATCTTCCAAAAAAATGGTGGTTTAATGGCATTTACTGGTGGTCTAATGGGATCTAATGGGAATTTTAATGGCATCTGGTTGGTGGTATACCTACCCCTCTGCAAAATATGAAAGTCAATGGGAAGGATGACATTCCATATATGAAATGGAAAATAACACATGTTTGAAACCATCAACCAGTGAATGCTTGCATATGTATCCAGCAGAAACTCATAAACTGGCATCTTGGCCGGCAATAGCAAGGCAATTGCCAAACGCATTCAGTACTTGGTGTTTTCTTGGCAACATAGCAGCAATGGGACCCAAATATGGGACCCAAATATATGATAAAGTTAGGTGATTTCATGTGTAGATGATCAAATCAGTGTTAGGGTGAATGAGGGTACCCGGTGGAACCCATTTTCACATGCTGCCGGAGACATGTGTTTTTGCCATGTCGAATTTTCTCTACCCCAACTAAACTACGTACATTTACTATACCTACTTTTTGCACCCAAAGTCACCCATTGATGTAGTACTGTAGGTCTGTATACATGACAATCAGTGCAACACATGAACATACACCCAATTTGCAAACTCAAAGGCAACAGATTCAATTGAACCGTTTGAACCCATGATTTCTCCAACTGCAAAGCACCAGTCGGAGCTGGTTTTTTCGGCCCGACCGGGAAGAGATAGAACGGGCCGATCTCAGTCTTAACCTCTCCTGGCAGGATGGGAGCTGGTGGACTTCCACCAGTTATGGCGTTATGGCCATGGGACGCCATGGGATTGGAAAAAACCCCTATGTTTAGACAAATCCATATTAAGCCAAAACATCTTCAAACCTTACAACCAAGTAAATATATATATAAATATATATATATATATAAATATATATATGTATAGAGTGGGGTGGCGTGGAGTGGGGTGGGGTGGGCTAATAAAGTTCATTTGCCTGTGATCATCTATATGTGTCTTCCAACACCCTCTTGGTTCTACGCTCTGAATTTGCTTTTGGAACTTCCAGCATGCTCTTCATGCTACGCTCTTAACTCGTTCTTGGAACTTCCAGCACGCTCTTGATGCTACGCTCTTAAATTGCTCTGGGAACTTCCAACACGCTCTTGGCCTGTGTTTTTTCGGCATTCGTTCAATCGTTTTCTAACATGAAGATGCACCTGGAGCACGCGCAAATCAATACCGAACCTTTTTGTCATGTCCTGGAAGCCAAGTCCCCAACCGGGTACAGTTTTTGACCTACCTTCCTCCTCCAGGTCCATCTTAGCAATTTCAACAACGCTTTGATCTGGGTCCAAGTCCTACCAAGTTTAGATGTTTTTTTTAATGTTCCCAACATGTCAGGTATCTCCCACAACTTTCAGATTGTCCCAAAACATGGATCGCCACTGGTCGCCTGTATCCGATGGCTTCATAGCACTGCGCAAGTCCGATACCTTGGGGGGCCATGATTTGGATTTTGGGTTCCAAAATGTTCAAGAAAACCATACAGCCATATGGGGATGGGTCAAAACCTTGCACCCCTGGTGAACATCAAAATAGCTGGTAAATGAATGTTCATCCCCCTAAAAATGGTATTTATAGGTATTGATCCATAGCCATACGATCATCTCATCCTCTATGGAAAAAAAAACAAACTGGGAAATTCCTGAGGTTTTGCTAAGTCATGGTGCTACCCCAAATCATCCAAGTTATGGATGACCATGACTTAGTACTGAAACAACCATGGTGACTTGGTGATCCCCAATTCGTTAAGAAACCCCTTTTTATGGTTTCTGAAAGGAATGAATGCACGCGCAATTCTGCATTGGGATCATGAATGGGATTCGAGATATGCTGAATTTTGCAGGCCACCTTCATGTTACCCTCTGGTTATGTCAAAATAGCTATTGAAAATGGTGATTTAGTTCGTGGATTTACCCAGCTGGAAAATGGTGGATCTTTCCATAGTTATGTAAACGTTTACCAGAGGGTATTTGTTACGGTTGTTCGAATTGGTTGGTTCAATGCAGGGATCTCCGCAATGAGTCATACATGATACTTGAAAACAGGCAAGACGACCCAGGATCAACAATCAGCATCAATCAACGAACACAAGGTTGGTTCAAAACAACAGACCAAACTATAACTGTACTTAACTATACTATACTCTACGTATTTCATGTTATTTCATCATTCTAAAACCAACTGAGCCAACCTGGGTTGGGTTTTTCTGGCTCCCCCAATATGGGTCAGTTCACAATCCCACCAGGTGGTTTTCCAAACCTCTATTTGAGCAGTGGCTGCGATGGCGCCCCGTTGATGATATCTTATATAGATGATTATATAAATTACTTATTGCTTTGGCCTCTTTCTGTGTTAGGGGCCATAGCTACCCAGGATCTATTTGTAGAATCCTAGGAACTGTTTACAGAATCCCAGAAACTATTTATAGAATCCCAGAAGTTATCAACTAATTATATATGCTTAGATCATCTTAGATCATCCAATATCATGGGTATCAACAAACGATCGATGTGAATTCCGATTGACCAAACACATTTTTTTTGGGTCAACCAGCCAGTCATGTCGACTGGGTCAATCTCTGAGGCTGGCACGTCCACCCAAACAGGCTGCAATGGCAGTGCTTTCTTTTGATGCGCTTCTTTCTCCTGCTGAAACGTGGCACCGCGTGGTGACCGTCAAACAGAAAAACTCTACGTGCTTTGATACCCTCAAAGAATGAGTTTTTAGCTGGGCAGTAGTATGTAGGTATATCTATCTGTCTGTCTGTCTGTCTGTCTGTCTGTCTGTCTGTCTGTCTGTCATCTATCTAACTAACTAACTATCTATCTATCTATCTATCTTATCTTATCTTATCTTATCTTATCTTATCTATCTATCTATCTATCTATAAATATATATATATATATATCCCCATGCATCGCACACTTGATCCTATTGAAGTAGCCATCCAAGATTGACCGAGCTTAGTCTTTATAATTATCTGAGAAGCCTGCTTTCCACACAAACACACAAATGTATATATATATATATATATATAATTATATAATTATATATATATATATTATAGAATTATATCGAACCACTTGACACTTTATCCAGTATATATTGTTTCCTAGTTCCTAAATTCTGAGGTCCAAAAAACCTTGCAGGAACCCATAGGAAGCCCCTTTTTTCAACCAACGGGGTCCAGCCATCGCCGCCGTCCTGCTTCCTGGCCTGTTGCCTGCGCGCTTTGGGCGCCGGCTTCGCCGGAGCTGACACCTGGGTCGGCCCGGATGGTCGAGAGGTCAACGTTCCAAATACATGAAACAATCATAGATTACAATGTGAGGCCCCCAAGATATAAGTTGGTTTAGATTCGCCCCAGTAACTATAGTTATAAATGCCATAAACCATTTGTATTGGAGTTATGTTCACCAACTTAGCTATCGAGCGGGGGCATCACATTGTAGGTTTTTAAATCATTGTTATACCACTTATATAACGGCAATAGGAGTTTATCTCAAAGGACCTGAAATCAAGGCCGTGATTTGGAAGTTCTATGTATCCACCCATGCCTTTGCTTCGGAAGTAAGACCTGGGTCTGATGACTGGGGTATTTTTTTTTGCTCCTTCTCAGGAAATATATGGATCCAAAGCGAACACATAAATTGAACATGTTGCATCACAAATACCATGGTTTTCATGACAATTTCTCTTAACTACGAGCAGCGCTATGATCATTTTGGTGAGTACGATAAACATTGAATGATCCATGGTAAACATCAAAAAAAAGCTGTGAAGGCTGGCCAATGAACAGGTACCAGGGGCCAGGGCGAGAATAGGGAGAGCCCAATGCCCTAGAAAAAAAGAAAACAAAAACACATCGGAAAACAAACATACAATGATAACGCCAGGGTTGATGGCGGTGAATCAAGCATGAAACCTCTGTCAGCTTTGAGAGTAGAGTCAGTAGAGAATTCAAAATGAAACTGTGGAACCAATTTGCCAATCGCTCATCTTAACAACAATAAGGTCCGCCCACCCCAAACTTGACATGATAAGTTCCTTTTTGATCGTGTTGGAAAGACTATTTGATTGGCTACACCCCCCGTTGTTGCTGGTTCTTCCCTGCCAAGCACCATCTATATACTCAATATAATGATATATACTCAATATTCTTATATATATACACGTTTTCGTATACATGTGTGCATATATATATATTGAATAATTATAAATAAAACAAAAACATAAATATTTCTCTCCAATATCCCCAGAGGCAAGTCTTCACCATGAAAGGATACTATTCAGATGCAGTCCCGCTGTGGCTGCACGCCTTGAATGCGTCCATGGTAGCTTCCTCGGATGGCACCTGCAGCGCAACACATGGGGAATCAAAGGCGTTGCTGAGAGCCACAAGGGCCACACGGTGAGATTGCCATTGATGGACACGCCAAGAACTCCTAAGCGCATGCTGGAAACCTTGGATCTCAATGCAAGCGATGTTCCTGAGATCGATGGTCACAACGTGATCGCCAACATCAAGGACGGATCTCAAACCAACCTAGGTTGCCAAGCCAAGTACTCAAGCGATGAACAGTACCAAAGTCACAGTCTGAAGTGATGCCATCAAGTAAGCCCTCGAACCCAAGCCGAGAAAAACAAAAAAAAACAGGCAACCCGATGTAAACAGGATGCCAGAACCATGCCCAATCACAAGCTGAAGAAGTGACCAGGAGCAAGTACGAACCGGGGGAGCACGCTGACACCCCAAGAAGCGTTTCGCTCATGGCAGCACGCGCGCTGCAATAACGTGCCGCTGCACAGCAAATCACCTAGTTGGAGGATCACCCCAAGGACAATTCACCAGTTCCGCAAATGATCTTGGCCTCACCTGATGGGTCAAACACATTGGACAAAATGTGGATGATTCTTTCGTGGAAAACAGCAAACATATGCAAACATCCTTTGGTACTCCAATCATTTGACACCTCTTAAACCATGACTGATCTCATTCTAGATATCCTGCTGATCTCATTTTTTGAGTAGTTGCTCAATAAATGTATATATATATATATCCACCGCAACATTGCCAAAGATTCATGTATCAAACTGGCCTTAAACAGTTGACGTCCCATTTATTTTTGGTTATGTATCCACATGAGTTCCCCGTGATGGTGAGTCAACACCCCCATGTCATGTCTGACGCTTAATCCAACACCAACCCTTGGCATTGTTTGATCGCGATTTCATGTTAATTATATATATACACCCTCTGGTAAACGTTAATGTAACTATGGAAAATCACCGTATTTTTAATGGGTAAATCCACTATTTCAATGGCCATTTTCAATAGCTATTTTAAACAAATTACCAGAAAGTATATAATTCAACAAAAAATCACAAGATTTTCTTAAGCCCAATGTTTGATGGACATCTACCACCAGGTCACCAAGGTTTACCCATGTATAGCACCCCAAACAATGTAGAAACAGTTCCTATCTGGCAATGGGTCAAAGCCCTCCTACCATTCTCTTCACCTCAAAAACACGTGGAATATGGATGTTAATCCCCAAACCATAGGTTTGTATGGGTCATCCATGCTTAACTGGTTGGTGGTATACCTACCCCTCTGAAAAATGTGAAAGTAAGTTAGGATGATTATTCCCAGTATATGGAAAAATAAAACATGTTCCAAACCACCAACCAGTTGATATATGATAAGTCAATAGAATTCTTACATGGTTAACATTTGGGTATTGTACCATACCCATCCATACCCATCATTCCTGAAAATCTATAGGTCAAACGACGCCTTTTTCCGCGGCTTAACCCATGAATTTTGGGGCTGGCTCCAAGGTGGTGTTCCCTTGCTGTACGTTGATTAAACCCAGCGTGGCTATAGATACAGTTATGGCCATTTATTAGTTATATCTGCTTATAAATGGGATTATACATTCTATAAATGGGGTTATAAGTTTTAAGTACTTATAACTGGTAAAGGGCCATAACTGTATACTTACCAACACAAACCGTCTTATTAATCTACCTATAAACCAAATTTATCTAACTATGGGGCACCACCATTATTGGCTAATGAATGGTTCATATCCTGATTTGAGTTGATATATCATGATGTTCTACAGTACTAGCCCTTAATAGCAATATCCCATTAATATGCCATTCATGTCCAGTTAATATCCCATGGATGGTTATATATTCCCATTTTGTCCAATATTCACCATTTTTCATTGTTAAATCACGTTAAATCCACATTGTTCGACAGAAATCCCACCTCGCAGAAGACCACGGCCATCTTGGCGGCGACGTACCAGGTCCGTCCTAATTCACCTGGGGTATGCAGGCGCACTACGCCGCTACGCATGTATATAGTGTAAACATACATGTGTATATATATATATATACTTAAACTCACATAACCACATAAAGATGTATATGTCATGTGGTTATGTGAGTTTAAGTGTAAATTAGGCGTCTTTCACAATCCATTCTAGACCCATCTCATTATAATCCATATACCTAAATACATGTAATTACATGTGACACACGAAAAATGCCTAGTCATATTTTTTACGTGGTTACTTAATATCATTTCAACATATATATATTCTCAATCCTTGTATGATGTTTCTCTATTCCTTGCATACTGGATTATACCCATATTCCAGATGCATAAATACACATTAATACTGTATATGCATATGTAAATGCATATGTAAATGTATATGTAAATGCATATGTAAATATATGTTTTTGTTTAATGTAAATGTACATGTATATGAATATGAATATATTATATTATTTGGTATCATATTAAATTATATTATGTTAAATGATGTTATATTATATTATATTATATTATATTATATATTATATTATATTATATATTATATTATATTATATTATATTAAATATAAAACTATATAATATCATATTATATTGTATTATATTATACTATGTTAAATTAAATTATGTTAAATTGTATGTATGTATGTCTGTCTGTATGCATGCATGCATGCATGTATGTATGGACATGTATGTATGTAAGAACATGTATGGACATATATCGACATGTATATGATTATATCTGTACTGTATACATATGTTGATGATAGGGTAAGGATAAGTTCAGTGGCCCTGCAGATTTACTTGCTAGCTAGATCTCTCCTGTCTCACAGTTATTGAGCTCTCATTTTTTGTTGCTAGCTCCCAGACAACCCAAGGTGATGCGCAAGTCCGACATAAGCCGGTGTCCCGATTCAGTTTTCCCCTGCGCATTTGCACTGAGAAGTCTGGATCACTTGTGCACGGTCGTATGTAATGTAAGGAACAAAATAAACTACTGAATCGTCACAACTTCTACTACTACCACTTTTGGATACCTTCCAAATACCCAGGCAACTTGGTAGTTTACCCCCGTGTTACCCGTTGTTTGGAAACTTTGAAGCTCCAGTTCATGATTGCAGGCGTGAGTATGTTGTCATATATATTATATATATAAACACACAAACATATACATACATGAACATAAATACTATAACGCAACCCCACAAAACAACAAAAAAACAATCCTTAAAGCGGGGCTTGCGACTCGCGACGCCGGGCCTTTCAGGTGTCGCGCCAAATTGCTGGGATCTCCGGTCTCCTGAAATTTCGCACATCAGCCCAGTGGGGGCATCATCCGAATGGCTAAATATGGATTTAATAATGATAATGAGTATGTATTTGTAGGGTTGCGTTACAGTGTTTATTTGTATTTGTATATATTGATAACGATTAGTATGTGTTTATCGAGTTGTATTTAGGATCGAGACGGATCAACCAAGATACTATGGCTCATGTACGAAGACCGTGAGATGATCCTCCAAGCAGGGGGGCTGGAAGTATTCTTTCGGTTCAGCCGGGCCAGAGCCGCCCAAATTCCATCTCTTTCAGAGGCTCTTAAAACAGGTTTGTTTCCCTGCCAGGTGAGGGTCTCTAGATTTTATCAGAGCATTCCGTCCTCCTTCTCGTCCTCCAGATCCTCAACCGCGAGCTGCAGCACACTGCCGGACCACCGCCAGGTCCAGATCTCAGTGACAGGCCTGAACTGGCGCCAGATCTCAGTGCTGTCAGAGGGAATGTTTGAATAAATGCCAGATAGAATGCCAGAAACAATGTCGGAGTATATGCCAGAGAGAATGTCAGCATATCTGCCAGAAAGTATATCAGAACAGATGCCAAATAGAATGCCAGCAAGAATGTCATATGCCGGAAAGAATGTCAGATAGAATGTCGGAATACATATCCAATATGTACAATACACATAATTGTAGATATATACTTCCAAATGGTATGTCAGAAACTATGTCAGAATAATGTGTCAGGGTGGTGATCAAAAGTAATTTGCATCTTGTATGGGTTTACACTAAAACAAATCCTGCGGCTGATCATGTTTACTCAAATCATCCATGTTTGTATGATATACTTGCATATTTTTCTGCAATAAATCATACCAAACATCCCACTTAGGCGAAAAAAACATATACTCTCTGGTTATTTAACATAGCTATGGAAAATGACCCATTTATAGATGATGTACCTATTAAAAGTGATGATTTTCCATGGCTATGTTAAATAACCATAGGGTATCGTTTGTTTTATATTGCCGTGACATGTGAAATTCTCAACGTTTGAGTGGTTAATCCCGATGGCCACCAGGCATTTTGGATGATTTGGAGGTTCCCCATGTTCGGAAGACTCCAGATCAATGCTCATGAATTACAGTTAAAGCTATTACTTGACAATTACGTTAAATCATATATATATATAGTGTACAAAAAAGAACAATTTGCAATAATATATATATACAATGTGAGGCCCCCAAGATATAAGTTGGTTTATAAGCCCCAGTAACTATAGTTATAAAATGTTAAAGTATAGAGTAAAGGAATGAATGTCAAAAACCATCATCCTTGGCTCGTGGCTTCAATCGGCATCACTGAAAAATCTTTGGCTCCTCAATGAATTCGCGGCGAGCCGTGGCCAGATAGTCGCCTTCATCCTCAGTCCACAGGTCAATTGCTGAAGGTCATCACAAAAAAAAGTGAGGGTTTGTAAAGGGCTTATTAAATGGTGGTTTAATGGACACAAAACCTAACTTTAATGATGGTTTAATGGCATTTAATGGTGGTTTAATAGGATCTAATGGGAATTTCAATGGCATCTGGTTGGTGGTTGCTGCTAACCCCTGAAAAATGATGGAGTGAAAGTCAGTTGGGATGATGACATTCCCAATATGAATGGAAAGTCATAATCCATTCATGTTCCAAACCACCGATCGAAACTGATAAACTGATTGTTCAACTGTTCACTCTGAAATCATGTGTGTATATTAATCATTAATCAATCCATTAATCATCTTTATTGGGACTGATCATCATCATTAATCACAGTCATTAACGATTTATATAAATATATTATTAATCATTAATCATCATATTCTGCAGGGACACAAGTGGAAATTGCTGGATTCTTCATATCAAATACCACCTCCGGGTTACCCTCTGGTTATTTGTTACATAGCCATGGTATAGATGGCCAATAGAAATAGAGGGTTCACCTATTAAAAATGGTGGATCTTTCCATGGCAAACTGTTAGTCATATATAACCAGATGGTACCAAGTACTGACTATGGAAAATCACCATTTTTCATGGGAAAATTCACTATAAATGGTGATTTTCCATAGTTGTGTTAAATAACCAGATGGTATCCCCAGGTTTGCTGAACAGCCCATCGAGAAAACTGCCCCTGTGTGAATCCAGCGGTCCGCGCTTCAGGTTCTCGCTTCCCTTGTGGAAAGAGTAGAACCTCAGAAGAAAAACTGCCGCAGATGATCTTCACCATGAAATATGGACCATGAATGGACATGATGAAAATCATGGTACCATCCATTTCTTTGGGGATAGTGCTACCCCCTAAAATCTTGTGAATTGGTTTATAAACCCTTCATATATATATATATTATATTGTATATATATAATGTATGATCTACCGTAAATTCAATCAGTAAGCTCATGAACCAGTGTCCCACTACTTTGGCTAAGTTGGTTTATAAGTAGGCGAACGGTGCGTACCATTGAACTCCTCGTACGTATATTACATCTATGGTTTGGGAGGGATGATACTGGTGATACATCTACAAATTCGACCATACAGGAAAGCAAGTGCAGGCAATATCCAACAACTGAACAGCATGTCAATGTGGAAACATAGACGAAACCTGCACTTAGTAGCCTGCACTTAGTAGCAGAAAGACAGGTACTATACTTGCAATGTTTTTTGCGGCCCCCAAACGATAGCTAAGTTGGTGAACATAACTCCAGTAACTATGGTGTATGATACTCGCAACAAGGTGGTGTTAAAGACTGCATCATGCTGTCAGGTTACAGTTTGACGACTTCCCTAAATACACAGTATATATATAGCAAGAATAAGTATGTGCATATTTATGATATATGTATTATAATCACAGATATCCAATATGTACATATATAAAATGTGTATATATAATTTCTATAATATATATATATATAAATACTATGTATATAATACTTTTTCTCATGTTCCTCTTTCCGTAAACGCGTGTTTGCATCTCACCGCCCGCTCACAGTAGCGTAGGGATAAAATGTTTAATAACCAATCCACTTGGATGGAACATCTGGGCAACTTGAACCAGCCCTGGGAATGCTGTCCATTTAGATGTCCAAATTCAGCGGTGGGTTTCTCCATTTCAGCGTTCCATTTGGCGCCAAGCGTTCACCCCAGGTGAAGGAAACCCCAGCCAGCAGCCCTCATTGGGATTAAACAAAAACAGAGCCGCTGCCGAGTCACTCTCTTTTGCCCCGAGCCGGAACCCACACCTGTCATTCCGTCGGCGATTTCTTGTGCTGAATCCGCCATTGTTTCCCCGGAAATCTTCCCGCTTGGCTTGTTCCTACCATTGGCCAATTTGAGGCACCCACTTTTCAGCATCCTGCATGCCTTGATTGCAATCTCAAAACAACTGGACAAGTTGGCAGCCTCGGAAGTATGACAAGCATCATCCATTGCCCTTGGATATACCGTGAAGAATGGCTGGCATGGGATATGGATATGGCATGTGAAGAAAATACAAGGATGTTGACGGTTCACATCAACAATACATGCTCTACCTTCCTAGGTGCTGCCCCATAGTTAGCTAGGTCGGTTTATAACTCCCACAACTTGGATTTATGGTGGTTATAACTGTAGCTAATGGGATTATATATAAACCAACTTATCACTGGCTGGCGACACCACCTTTCACGGGATTCTAGCTGCTAAGCTGGAAAAAGATTTCACAGAGTTTGACTGCTAGCATGAAATATTTCCCAACAAATCAATGATCTTCTGGAAAACAAGAGTTAACACGTGAACATTTCTACATATTCCAACCAATGACGTGATCATTTATTGACGTTTTGCCATCATTTTGGTTCCTGGAACATTGATATCTACAGCTATACACATACATTGTTCCGGTTCTCCATTCTACATTGTTCTGGTTCTCCATTTACACATATAGCTAACAAACAAAATGAACCAACTCGCCAGTCTATCTCGCAAATACCGCATGATCCTTGGTTAAGCCCGCACTTTGCTTTTCTACAACCCATTTCTTTACCCAATCCCTTCCTCATTTTTTTCATGACCAAACAGTCAAACCTCTAGTTTTGTCCTTGTTGGAAGCCAATTGCTGTGCTACTTCCAATTAGATACCCAGTTCTTACTTCATTCTGCTTGGTGGTATGAGGTGATATCTGTTGATATATTATAAAAAATAGATGTATATATATATACAGATATCCAATACATATCCTCATTTTGCGACATGTTCTTCAACCAAAGACCCCGCTGGATACGACAGGACCCGCGCCTAATTCCCTGAAGGACACGCGACGCTCCTCAACCGCCAAGAGCAGCTTGCCTCGGCACCGGTGCGTCCAAAATGGGACGATGAAATTGATGCAGAGCTGTTGATGAAAATGAACGAACTTACCCTCTGGTTATTCGTTACATAACCATGGAAAATGACCCATTTATCGATGGTTTACCTATTAAAAATGGTGATTTTCCATGGCTATGTTAAATAACCAGATGGTAGGTCCATTGTTTACAAAGATAAATGATCACACCGTAGACTTCGCTTAAACCCACCTGAAACTGAGCTCGACTTATATGTATGGAGACATGCTCAAGTAATTGGATTGAATTTTAAAGATAGATGGAAACAATAGAACCTACGCAAAAAGATGCAAAAATAACACACACACACAACAATCCCAAACCGGGTTGGTACCCTCAAAATAACCGATATAACCCGAAACAATCTCATTCATCGTTAGTTTGATAAATCAGTTTCCGAACCATCTACAGTTGTGGCTCTTAAGACTAATTAAATTTAAATGGGAATATATCTGCAACTCAAATGGTAAATCACTTGAATGATGTTATTTCAGCCAGTTAAAAGTGGCCTTCTGGGGCTATTGCTACTGGAAAGCAGTTTCCAAACCGTCCAGGCTTGGTCGCAGAAACCCTAGGAAACTCCTCTGCTTATGGTCGAAACATGTCACGGATCGTTCAAAACAAGAATTTCAAAAAATACTTGCCACAACACTAATGTATTATAATGTATTGTAAATATATTGATAAATACATTAATATATATATATATATATATGATATATGTATATCTAACGCATCTATCACCAGCTGTTCTTTATGAAGGTAGACGGTAGCGCCAGCTGCTATAGCTTGCCACCCCGATGCCCTGGCCATCTTTTTGGGGCCACACAAAGCTGCTTCGCTCTGTCCAGAGTATAGAAAATGACCCCTGCCTGGGCGCGTGGCATGTCATGTCGGAAAATGGTCGCCTGAAGTCCTGAAGTGCTTGTAAAATCTTGTAAAAAAATTATCGGAAGATGAATGGGATAACGGGGAAACGATGGGAAACGGTCACACTCAGATCAATTGTTGCTGTTAATCAGATAATGAAATACTCAGATTGTTGCTGTTCAGTTCTTTTTGAACATCCACATTCCGAATTCCACGCAGGGATGAAACATGACAAACGATTTTCCTTTAAAACCACGGGAGGTTTTGTGGCCAAAGAGAATTTTGTTTGTTGCGAAAATCATACCAAACCAAGCTATACCGGCTATACCTATCATGGTGAATGGTCTGTCACCTATCGTGGTGGCCATGGACCCTTCAAGGCCATCAAAGGAAGCGACAGATCGCATCCGTTCCAAATGTAGCTCCTTCCTACGAAAAAAAACCTCTGGTAAACGTTTACATGACTATGGAAAATCACATTTTTTTAATGGGTAAATCCACTATAAATGGCCATGTTCAATAGCTATGTTTGTTTACCAGAGGGTAAACCTCACGCAAACAGCGGGGTTTTCTTCCAAAATGACCAGTCACAAAAGTCTCATCGCTTAAAATTCCCTGTTGAGACATGCACACATTTAGGTATGGCTGCGGGCAAAAAAAAACATGAATGAGAACTCACACCTAGCCGGCCATTCGTGGGACCCCATAGTCACCCGTCGCTTTGAGATCCCTCACTGCGCGATAGTCTTCAGGAATCTCACTTTTCCGAAGGGGCCTCTGGGAAGATCCCCGAAGCTGTTGAGGGATTGATACCGCAGTTTCTAGACATCTGGACTGATTTTTTAATGAACCAATTACAGGGGTCCCCAAATAGATAGAAAAAACATACCCGGGATCTAACAAAGTGACTCACTTTTCCATCTTCTTGTACCCTCTGGTTATTTGTTACATAGCCATGGGAAATGGCCCATTTATAGATGGTTTACCTATTAAAAATGGTGATTTCCATGGCTATGTTAAATAACCAGAGGGTATGATATCATATGAATCTCCAGCAAACCGATTAGTTTCATCCCAAAATCCCATGAAAAAAAGCGACAGATGTCCTCTGCGTTCGTCGCTTCTGGTACAATCGGGTGACCTGAGTCTCAAACTGGGTCCATGCAGGTCCCTCAGATTAATCTTCCCTTATATAGAGATATCAGCAGACTCGGCATGTAAATGGATATGTGGGTACTTGCGTTATATTATGTGTATATATATAATATACATATAATTTCATATATACGGAATACAAATGGCATGATATGAAAACACAACTTGGAGACCTGCCAAATCCACCAAGTCAAGCGCCATCTGAAACGAACACCCTTTGATCAAGGGAACCATCCCTGTCAAGGTCCCTCCTCCTGAGATGCCGGACGCCCCAACCCACTACTGCCAGGCCCAATAGCCATTTCACACTCTGAAAAGCGTGCGTCCGCACACCTCGTTGCAGCGGAGACCAGAATGGTTAGGCAAAAACACCAAGAATATCATTTTCAGATATTTTCAGATACTACTTGGACCCTCCATTCTTGGATTTTTCAGATACTTTGGGTCCCTCCAAGGTGGTCACTGGTGACCCCCCCAACCCAAACTATTGGAGCATATTGGACCAACTTAGCCATCGTGGGCACCACCTGTTCCAGTACAATTGGAAGTTCCAAGTGACATCGCCATTGCCTTGGCCTTCAGTAACTTCAGTATCCGAATAGATGATTGGATCCCAAATGCTGGGGGGAAAGGTCATAGTTTCATTTTTAGCTGGTTGGTGGTTTCAACCCCCTGAAAAATATGAAAGTCAGATTGGATCATCATCCCAACTATTGGGGAAAATAAAAAATGTCGCAAACCACCAACCAGTTAGTTTCCCATAGTTTCCTGTCACTTCAAATCAGCAAACGTCTCGACCAGACGGGATCCACAACTTCACCAATCCCCCGCCATCCCCCGCGCCGGCGAAGGCAACCACATGTCCTCATTTCTTGGTGGAACCCCATGTCTTTCAAGCAACGAACCTCTTTTTTGGGGGGATCGTTCATCATTTTGCCTTTGAAAATGTTGTCTTCCCGCCATTCCAATGGATTATCATCATGTTCCCTATCCAACATGATGATGTGGGGGGATACGATGGTATACTCCATTTTCAGACACACACAAATATCCGTTTGGTCCATGATCATCATTGTCCAGCGACTAAATTTTATTTATTATTTTTTTTTAGAGCTAAATTTCCTATGAAACTACACATGGTTTGATGTTCAAATCAGTTAAATCCTTATTGTTGATGCTTAAATCCCAGTTTTCACCATGTTCGATTGGTTGAATTCCCGTTTTTCGTTGCTCAAACCTTTTCATTTTGATGTTTTGGGATAAGTCCCCCAGATCGCCCAGTGGCGTTCCCCGCGCGTAGCGACTGGCACCGCAGCAGCCGCGGTAGAACTGCTGGTCCTGAGTTGAAATCATCTGTCACCCTATTTCTGGGGTTGAAAAAAAATCATCCTATAGAGAAATCTGATTTAAATATACATGTATACATGTTGTAAACTTCATTACATTGCATTACATTGTATTACATTGCATGCATACACATAATAGAACTTTGCCTTGCATTGCATTCCATTACATCACATTTGCATCAAATATATGCATACCATACATACAAGCATACAAACATACAAACATACAAAAATACATACATTGAATGAAACTACATTACACTACACTACACAACATTACTTCACAGTACATTTGCTGACAGCACATGACATTACAGTACATTATGTTACACTACAATCACTACAGTACATGTCATCCATTCATGCATAATTGCATTAAAAAAAACACATATTTGATGTAATGCAACGTTCTCTGCTTTCATCTAAACGACATAGAATGTATACATTGGTCATGCACATAAGAATATGGGAGAATTGTTGTGTATGTGCATAAATCCGAAATATATATATGTGTGAATATATATACATATATATATATATGTATAAGTAATCCTCAAAAATAATCCTCAAAAATATAGAAAAGTAAACTCCTATTAAAGTAGTGGTGAATTGCATTTCTATCTTTTGGGGAGTTTACGATACATGTTACTTCTCTCAATATATGTGTCCTATAGTCATATCAATATCTTGTTTTTGCTCTTTGAACGCAAAATTGCTGTAGTTTGCTAAAAAAGTCAATGCTTAAGAAAGTGATGCGGAAAACTAGTTAAGCACATGCATAATATATGTACTGCCACTGCCACTATCTATCTATCTATCTATCTATGTCTATCTATTTCTACCTATATATATATTTCTATCTATATCTACCTATATCTATATATATATATATATCTATCTATATTTGTCTATATCTATCTATATCTATCTGTATCTATCTTCATCTATATATTAATCTATATATATATATCTATATCTATCTCTATATCTATCTCTATATCGATCTCTAGATCTATCTCAAGATCTATCTCTATATATCTCTACATCTATCTCTACATCTATCTCTATATCTATCTCTATATCTATCTCTATATCTATCTCTATATCTATCCCTATACCTATCTCTATATCGATCTCTAGATCTATCTCAAGATCTATCTCTATATATCTCTATATTTATCTCTACATCTATCTCTATATCTATCTCTAGATCTATCTCTAAATCTATCTCTAGATCTATCTCGAGATCTATCTCTAGATCTATCTCTAGATCTATCTCTATATCTATCTCTAGATCTATCTCTATATCTATCTCTATATCTATCTCTATCTCTATACCTATCTCTATATCTATCTCTATCCATCCATCTATCTATCTATCTACCTACCTACCTAGCTAGCTACCTATCTATCTATCTATCTATCTATCTCTATCCATCCATCTATCTACCTACCTACCTAGCTATCTATCTATCTATCTACCTATCTATCTATCTATGCACATATCATGTGAAGTTATATGATGTTATATGTTTCTTGAACACTGCATGTAGGGTCATATTCAGACCGACAGCTGCAGAAGTTGATTTCAAAAGGACATCAAATGCCCTATATGCCAGCATATTCGGGGTCAATGTAAGTACCCACTTCTCTGCAAATATGCGCATATATATATATATATACATTGTAATATATACACTACTATGTTTGTGCATGTTGGTCACTATACCTTTCTTCCTCTGGGCAAAGCTTTCTGTATTCGATCGGACAATTCAGGAGAAAATTCAACAGCCTCCATATGTTCCGGGCAAATCATCCATGGCGGCTGCTCTGTGACAGCAGATTGTACTCATTGACATGGTGAGTTCCAAGCAAACACATTTTGACAATGGGAAATCCCCTATAAATGGAGGTTTACAGCTGGGAAAATCATCTGTCATTGGTTTATTTCTATTTCACCATTATTTTCAGGGATATGTTCAAGATTATTCTTGCCTGAAGAATGTTTATGGATATCGTACCTCTCATACTCTGGAACGGGTTGCTATGTGCTAAATAAATCACCTAGATAACCCATTTGCACTAACGCGTAACCTCCAAGACACATCAACCTGCTGCTCCAACTATATGTTCCTGCAATCTGCTCTGACATGTTTACAGATGCTATCCTCTGGCGCATGTCTCATCGTAATAGAGCTATCCAAAATATGACAAGCAGAGACAAACAGGAACTCAGAAAACATGTGAGTGACTGACCAATCCAATCCCATAACCACAAGAGTCACCCATTTCCAGGACTGGTAGACCGGTGAACCAATGAAGGATTATTTTCTTGGCACTGAAATATCCTCTCAAACATGGCTTGCTTAGAATCTCCATCGATGATTGTCCCAGTATGTCCCAGCCACAAACTCCATTTCTATGGGCGATTTCGACACCATGCAGCTGAGTCACGGCACAAAAGGCGTGGCACACAAGACGCTTGGTATCATCACGCGTCGTGGCAGGTTGTTCGGGCAACAGACGTTTGCCGTTAACCAGAAATCCCAAGTGGCTGGTTCCAAGATAGCTAGGCTAAGTTTGTTTATAACTATAGGTAACTATGGTTTATGGTAGACATATCTATTGTCAATGATGTTTTCAAACCAACAAACATAAGTAGGGGGGGCCACCTTGTAGAACTTGAAAGGATCCAATCTGGGGATGTGACGATTCAAGACATCTGCAGCATATGACTTGGACCCTATTCGGTTCTAGTTGCACAACATTTGTGGCAGAAAACTGTTAAGGGACTTGCTGGGAAATTGCCAATGGTATCACAATGGTATCCATGATCTTCATTGACATGAGTTAAGACTTTTGGGCAAAGAGCAGGATGGGCTCTTCTCCACTAGGTGGACCTGGATGAAGGTAGCAAAAACAAACCATGTCGAGGTATGGTCGTCGACTTATATAGATTCCCAAAAGGGCCGTGGCAGGAATGATGACGATGATAAATTACCCTGCGTGATCTACCATGATAAACCCAGAGCCTTGATTTACCAAAGAGAATTGCTATGTTGCGCTTTCAGCAAGAGCTCTTTTTACATGTTTCAATGTGGTTTAATGCGTACTTTGAAGTTCAAGGTATTCGTACATCAAACTTCAGCTTTCTTCTTTCTGGCGCAAGCCTGAGCCACAGTTTCAATCAGTTTTTGGATGGCGCTAACCATCCATTTCATGACTCAAAAGCCTCCAAAAATAAGTATCTATTATATCCCATTAGTATTTACACATTACTTAGAATGCATATGAAAAAAAAACATATCCAATATCCAATTAATAGTGTACCCAATCAATTGCAGCAATGGGAGCATGTCATTAAAACATGTCACGATCATCTCGATTTACCCGGATGGATACATACATGATGTTCTTGTGGAGAAACATAACCCCCAAGACATCTCCAACACGGTGATATGCCCTGAGATCTCTCCATTAAAAAATGACTCTAGACCCTTCAAGTTTTATACCGTAATCTTAGTTGTTTTACACACTTTTACCAATTGTTGGGGGTATGCTAGTATGCGGACAGTATTTTTCTAGTTGGTGTTTGCTCTTCATGGGGGAACATCATCCCAATTTTGTGGTTGAACATGTTTAATCCATTTGAAACCACCAGAATTCCTATTGCTATTGGATATGAGTTAGTTTAATGATTTTGAACTTGGGCATACTGCATACTTCCCCCCCTTTTCCACTTGAGAGATTGCTTGGGAAACCGGCACATTCTTCAAATCGCTTGGCTCAACCAGGGAAGGTCCAAGAACAGAGATAGAATATCAACCATACACCTGCAATTTCTTGGTGTTCGAAATCCCACCCGTCTCAGGTAAGTCAATGAGAGCGACCTATGGTTTTATGCACCTGTTTGAACCTAGATGTCCGGACATTTTTCGGATCTAACAATTTTTTGGCCGTATGAGATTTCGAGTGTGATTCATTTCATTTGTGCAATATGTTTATGTTCATTACATGGTAAGAAAGCGCAGTTTCCTAAATGGCCCAGGTAGTGGTTCAATTGATCTGATGTGATTCCAATATGGGTTTCGCAAAAAATATTGCATTCTCACACCTTCCGTTCAATGTAGAAAGAGTTGCACATCATTCCCTGTTGAGTTCCGACATCTGCGAGCTGCGGGGTCCCCAAACGATAGATACTTTGATTTGTAACTCCAGTCTCAGTAAGATTTCTTGTTGGTTGATAGTTGACTTCTGCTAGGTATATAGCTTTGTTACTAGGTTCAGTGCGGTTGATTTATTGTTGGATGATGTTTGATCCAACTTAAGCATAACTAACTGGGTATGTCAAACTCATATCAACTACTTATAAATAGATAACTGTGCTAATAAAACCAACAGATCAACAGAACTGGCCATCCAACCCTTCCTGTGTGGCCCATCTGCCTGCACTTTTCCAACTCTCCACCGGCTGCTCTTGTCTCACCAACTGCGAGGACGCCAGGGCTGCCAGGGCTGAAATCTTGCGATCCGTCCTGAACAACTGGGGATGTTCAGACCCCCAGACCCCGGATGCCCGTGTCATGTTTGGTGGCTTGGTTGGCAACATCGACACGGGGCAAAGGTCCACTGCTTGGAGATCCACTGCTTGGAACAACATGCAAAACGGCAAATGCGGTGGGTTAAGACCATCGCATCCTCAGTCCTATGGCCGCCATGGAAAACACCTACTGTATCCGATATTAACCGAAACACCTTCAACATGTATCATGCACTTCTTGTACACTGCTCATAACTCGATGTTAGTTACCAATCACTACCACCAATAGAAATCACCAATCGAACCAACGAATTAGCACGGCAACCAACCCGGACATCCCAAAACCATTTCTTCCATGAGTTCCTGCGGCATCTTTGGTGCCAACAGAAGTAGGCTAACCAAGGGGGTACAACTTTACGAAATTAGTAACCCCCAAATGAGCATATTTCAAAAAAATGATACCTCAACATGGGGGTTTCCAGTTTTGACCATGGTTGTTTCAACCCAGGACCCATGGGACATAGCAGCCAATCATTTTCGATAACTAGTGGAACTACCCGGCATGGCAATGTGGCAATGCATAATTTCCTGAAATTTCCACTCCAAAATGATGAGGTCAAAATCGTCTCTCTCCAACATGCTGAAACAAAACTATGTCTATAGTCTGCAACTATAGGGTTCTTTCAAACAGTAGCACGGGCAATTCTCCAGTTCCTACAAAGAGTTAAATTTCATGTTTGGTCATCACTTTCCCATTAAAAACAATGGTCATAACTGTGGGGTGAATCCCAGTCTCAGTCACCCCAATTTACATGATTTGTAGTTGGTTCACGTTGGTATTTCATCATATCCTCATTATTAATATCTCATTCTATCCCCATGTTCAATTGAATGAACCTAATGGTTAAATCTCGCATTTTTCCCGTCATTTTCACTTGTGAAATCTGAATTTCGGACAGGTAAATCCCAATGTTTGGCACGGTTAAATCCCTACAGTTGTGGCCCTTAACAATCATAAATAGCATTATTTCATGATATATAACCCTAGTTATAGGAGTTAGTTCATTCCTTTTATAAGTGTTAGTTGGGCCATAGCTGTATCTTAAATCCATGTTCACTTGTTTTTTGTCCAATTTTTGGATAAATCAGTAAATCCCTATGTTTAACGTGCGGTGGAATCCCTACACTTATGGCCCAACAAACACTTATAACAGGAATTGACTAACTCCTAAACCAGTTGGCTATGTATCATGATTTAATGCCATTTTATGATTGTTAGTTGGGTTATATAATGTTATATATTATAATCCCATTTAATCCCATGTCAGTTGGGCGCTGTATGTTCCTTAAATCTTCATCTTGTCACCCTTCCAGCGCGGCCGCAGCGAGACGTCCTAGGCCAAGAGCTTGGCCGCATCGCTGCGATCCTTGGTCAAGGTGGTGCGCCACATCTCCCGTGTGTAGCGCTCGCGGTCGAAGCCTGGCACGCCCGCGAGCTCGACGTTATATATTCATTGGATAGATCTATATAACTTAGAAATATAAATAAATAAATGAATGAATATATATATAATTATATATATATCACTTATATAGAACTTAATATTTGAACTAGGTGATATGATTTATACATTAATTAATATTAGTCATATGAAGCAGTTAGCTTGTGAACTATTGAAATCAAATGAACATGTGTATATATATGTATATATAGGTGTATTGCACTCCAGTAAATTCACCTAGACCCTGACATGAGTTGGGTGTTGGAAAAATCCCACAGATCCAGTTGGGACCATCCCAGAAGAAGCAGAAGGCACACCCCAAAAATCTGGATATCTCTGGAACATATCCCAAAAGAACATCTCACCAAATCGCATTTGTCCTATAGATCCATAGTTTTCCCATGTCCCCTAATTTTCCATAGTTTTTCCATGGTTTTCCAATAGTTTTCCATAGTTGTCGCCTAGTTTTCCAATAGTTTTTCCCTAATTTCCCTTTAAAAAAAACTACCCCAAAACGCGTTTCCATAGCGATCAGCCTGTGGCGCAATGCATTGTGCAGCGGTTGTCCCAAAGGACCAGGTCCCCGACCTGCCATTCCTTGGGAACAGAAAGAGTGAAAGTTCTTGACATGATCATTAACATAATATACCCATATATGTTGATGGAAAAATATCAATACATATAGAGGGATCATATACAGATATGTGGGATGAATCTATGGGAATATAATATATATTAATAATCTTAGTGAATATCATATAACTTAATAAGATTACAACAATATTATCTTAACATTGTCAAGACAGTACTTATCTTATTAAGTTATTTCACCGCTTTATCTCACTATTAAATATTATTAACTTAATGAGATTACAATAAATATACATTTAGATGATAAACTAACATAATATACGATAATTGTATCATTAACTAACATAACATACAATATATCGTAATGGGAAAGGTGCTAATATAGAGATACAAAAGTTCCTGATAATGAGATTTACATGATTACAACAATATTATCTTCACATTGTCAAGACATCACTTATCTGACATTAAGTTCTTTCACTATTATATCACTGTTATTGTAATATTGTTAACTTGATGAGATTACACTATACAAAGATAATATTATCTTAACATAATAGTGAAAGGTCTTGATAAAATATAATCATGCAATAAATATATGTATATATAGTATAATCTGTATTAGTGAACGGCCTTGACATGATCAATCCTTGAAATAGTAAAATATCATCTGATTATAAATGTACTAATTCTCGATCATAATTCTGACCATAGTCATATCAAATGTCTATCATATAAGATTATGATCATAATCTGGATCGCTATTATCATTATATCATTAATATTCATTAATATTATCATTTATAATACAATATATACATATATACACCCTATGGATCCAGCCGTACTACTTGGGGTATGATTTCGGGAGTGACTTGTGCCTTCTCAGACAGTGTTTGGCTATACATATAATATAATCTATATATACCTGTATATATATATGTGTTTGGTATGATTTATATAAACATGTATATAAATATTGGGATATTATAAGATCAAAAAAAACACTCGCTGACTATCCTATTTTCCGAATGTTGCGAGGAATAGAAACGTCCTGCTGTCTTATTTGGTAGGTGTCTGGCTGTGAACACAGAGTGATTGCAGGACGTCGTGAGGCAAATTGGAACTATACTTTCATTCAGAGTTCTTTGCAACATTGGGCTGGGACTGAGTAAACCTTAGTGAACTCTTCGTTGATGCTTTTTTTGATGAAAGCCACTCGGACAACCACCTAGAAAACAACCAACTTTTTTACTGGGACCATGCATTTTTTAGGACAGCTATTCTCGATGAATATCTCGGCTTTGTGTCTGTTATCCCAACTGTAAACTTAATCTGGTTGGTGGTTTCAACCCCTCTGAAAAATATGAAAGTCAGTTGGGATTATTATTCCCAATATATGGAAAAATAATCCAAATGTTCCAAACCACCAACCAGTAATCTAACTAGTCTCCAAGGTGCACGTCACGAGGCCCAATACTAGTAGTTTCAAGAAATCGGATCCTTTCCGGTCATTTTTTGGCCATATGGCTTCCAGTTCGATTCAATCGCTTGATTCAAGGGAAATTGTACGGTTGAAAATCCATTGTTTTTACTTGCGCATTCAGGGTTTTCCCGTAGTTTCCCGTAGTTTTCCCATATAAGTTTTCCCGTAGTTTCCCTTAAAAAAAACATCACAAACTTCAACCTTAACAAGGCTCCCATTTCACTGTGAAACGCGCGTCCGTGACGAACGGCAGCAAGGACCTCCATTCCTCCTGTCTTTACCGGACATCTCCTAAGCTGTTAAAAACCAAAGGACATAGACATGGCTGTTTCACATCACATGGCTGCTATGTTGTTGTTTTTAGGAGTGTGCATGTATATATATATATACAATATATATATATAATACATATATATATAATACATATATATATATATATTATATAATACATATATATACATATATATATATTATATTAAGGTTCAAGGTCCGGCACCATGGTAATTTCTATCCGTTTGAACTGGTCTGTGGCCTAAACCCCAAGAACTGACCATTTGACAATAAGACAGCTGACAACAAGAGACACAGAATAACTCCAAGATACATCAAGAATATAATATTTGTATCTCTGCTGATTTATAATATTTTTTCTGCTGATTTATAATATTTTTTCTGCTGATTTAAAATATTTTTTCTGCTGATTTATAATATTTTTCTGCTGATTTAAAATATAGAATAGAATACTGAATAGAATGCTGAATAGAATGCTGAATATCTGCTGATTTATAATAATATTTCTCATTGACACTGTCAGTTTGGGGGGTTCATCCCTCCATGCATTCCCCTGATCAACAATCTACAAGAATGGTGAAACAAAAGAATTCTACCTTCAAAAGCATCAGCAGGTGTTTTTCTGGTTGGTGGTTTCAACCTACCCCTCTGAAAAATATGAGTTCGTCAGTTGGGATGATGAAATTCCCAATGTTAATGGACAGTCATAATCCATTCATTTTCCAAACCACCAACCAGTATTAATTGCATACTGTATTATCAACCATATCAACCTAGAAAAACACGATATTAACCCAGTAAAAAACATCAGCTTTTGGTGTTTTTAAACGTTCCCGGCCATGTCTTTTGGTCCTCCCGGCCATCGCATCCCGGCATGTTCAACCCGTTGGGTACCCGTTCGACTCCTGCACCGACTCGTGCTCCAGGGCGTCCAGTTCGTAGCGATCCAGTTCCTCGTCAGTGACTTTGGCCTGGCCGGGGACTTTGAGCGTCTGGAGGAGGATGAAGATGATGATGGTGATGATGATGATTATTATTAGTGTGATAATGATGATTATGATGGTGATGATGATTATTAGTATTATCATGATGATTATGATGATGGTGATTATTATTATGCTAATGATGATTTTGATGATTTTTATTATGATGATGATGGTGACTATTGCTATGATAATGATGATGATGATGGTGATGATGATGGCGATTTTTGTTGTTATGATGGTGATGATTATCATGATAATGATGATTGTAATGATAATGATGATGATTATTATTATGATGATGAGTGAATATTATCATTATTATTTAGAATAAGATGGTGATGATGATGATGATAATGGTTATCATGATAATGGTGATTGCTTTTGTCATCAGGATGATTTTGATGGTGGTGATGATGGTGATGATTATTATGATAATGATGATAATGATGATTATGCTGATGATGATGATTATGGCGATTATTATTTTGATGATGATGTTGATTATTACTATGATAATGATGATGATGATGATGATTATTATTATTATGATGATAATGATGATGATGGTAATGATGGTGGTGATGATTATGATGATGATGATTTATTATGATGATGGTGACTGTTATGATGATGATGACGATGCTGATGATGATGATGATGATGAGGGTGATGATAATGGTGTTGATGATGATGATGATGATGGTGGTAATTGTTTTTATTATTATTATCATTTTGATGATGATGATGATGATGATGAGGGTGATGATAATGATGATGATGATGAAGATGATGATGATGGTGGTGGTAATCGTTTTTATTATTATTCTCACTTTGATGGTGATGATGACGATGATGATGATGATGGTGATTATAATGATGATGATGATGATGACGGTGATGATAATGATGATGATGGTTGTGTTGATGATTATGATTAACATTATGGTGGTGATGATGCTGATTATCATGATGATGGTGATGATGATGGTGATGATTATTAGGATAATGATGCTGATTATGATGATGATGGTGATTATGATAATGATGATGGTGATGATGATGATGGTGATGATGATGAGAAGGAGGAGGATGCATCTTTATTCGTTCTGTTTTGTTTGTAATGTATATTACAATATCACTATGTATATATATATATGTATGTATGTATGTATGTGTGTATGTATGTATGTATGTATTCATACAGAAATAGGCTAAGAGGCTATACATTCACCAAATGGGATGGTGGGTTTTCAACCTTGACAGACAGCGGAAGCCTTTCGAACATAAGAAGTCTACCTGGGATGGACTCATGCCATGGTAGTCTACTCATGGTACAGTTCAACACTAGATCCATAGACATATCTATGGAAAATCACCATTTATCATGGGAAATTCCACTATAAAGGGCCATTTTTTATAGCTATGTGAATGCTTACCAGAGGGTAGACATATCTATAACTGTCCAAAATATTTCAGCAACAGCATCCGCCTTTCGCTGGTTTGAAAGATCTGAACTGGTGAGCCAGGCCTCTCTGGGCAGTACGCGGCAGGTTCCACCGTTCATCCCATAGAGAGACAAACGCTTCTGCAAGGGATGCTCCAACACCATCCTCGGTCGTCAAGTTCGGTGAACTTCCACTGAACAGTTGGCACAGTTGGGGATGACTCGGGATGACTGTATAGATTTGATCAACCACCAAACATCACCAGTGCATTGAAAACACCAGATCCATCCCTTGCTTGGAGGATCATCCCACTTGGCAACTGGTTTTCATAGCCTTGGCGATCGGAAGTCCCCGATTCGTAGATTATCCCATCTAAAAACGGACTAAGATGGACTAACTATACTTATTAACTATGGACTATAAATGGATTCTCCCGTCCATATATATATAATACTATATGGCTATTAAATGTGGGAGAATACACCGTGGGTTAACTATCATGAATGAACTATCATCTATATCATCGCACTATCACTGATCACTATGGTTATTCACATTTATTAACCACTTAACCACATTAACTATGCTATACTGGCTATACTATGCTTTCTAACTTTGGTGAATCCTCCAAGTGTTGCCCTCGTTCGGTCTCCCGGCGGCACCCGTTGCGCCGGGCTCTGCTTGCGCTGCTCCGGCGTCAGCGTCGGGAAGTCCGGCGAAGTCTTGTTGATCTGCGGCCGGTTGTGACGGAGAAAAACGTTAGGCACCACTTGGTGCCGAAACCATGGTTATTGATGGTTGATGATTGTTAAAACGTGGTTAATGATGATTTTTAATATGTTGATGATGGTTCATAGTGGTGAATGACAATGAATAATCTCCATAACGGTGCTGAATTGATGATTAATGATAGTTAATCATGGCTAATAATTTATGGTGATTAATGGATCATCTCACGAATTGTAAGTGGTGAACGTATTCCATTTATAGATGGGACTTGCGATCGCCAGGGCTATTAACCACTTCCTAATTGAATGCCCAGGTCATTAACTGAAGAACACGGGGCTTAAAGGTTGAAACAAGGACATTGTGGCATACAAACTAGAACATGTTGGTTAATCTCCACTCGGTAATGGAAAATAATGGGAGGGGTCTCCAATGTTTTGGGGAGTGCAAGATGATGGTTTGGAGATGAGCATTCCGTTGTTGAATGAACATGATCCAACGCACCTGTATTTCAAGCCGATCTGAAAATGTCATCAAAACAGTCAGACCCAAATCGACGGATGTGGCTACATCTAGATGAGGAACACAAACATCAAGTCGTCAAAATCATCACCAAAGGTCTTGTTGTCGCATTGCAGCCGGGCCGACGTCAAAAGAAGGATCAGGAACACAAACATCAAATCATCAAAATCGTGTCATGCTGTTTTATGCCATACTGAAAAAAAAACACACTTGCAGCCCCAGACCACTCAATGTTTGACAACGTTTGACCCCGGCCCTTGCGATCGCTCTGCTCTTTTTGCCCGCCCCGTGGCTCAAGCCTGGCTGCCCCCATCTCTTTGGATGGCTTCTACTCTTCGCCGGTTCTCTTCAGTCAACCAAGTCCAACATCGCCTGCAGACCTTGATGGCGTCGAACCCCCCGTTGCCCAACCACCGGCAGCCCAGGTCGCGATGTGCTAACCTGCTGCGGTCTTCTCTGGTCACGAATAGTAGGTGATCCGGACTTGGGGGGTTCTGACGCAGGTCCGGCACAGGTGTACCTCGCAGACGTCAGCATACAGTGCACAGGCACATCCCACGGTATGCACTGTTCCAGCTGTCGACTTCACAACCAGTAGGCCCCGGATTGCTGCAAAGCAATCGCCACCAGCACCGTGCTCCATGTGCCAAGGTCGTTGTGGTGCGGTTTGGGGCTGGGGTTTGGCCTGTAAAGCGCTGCGACGTGGACAATCAAACTTCAACTGAATCAACTGAACAGCTTCAATCCTAGCAACTTCACAAGTACTGGCTTCAGTTCTACAGTTCTAACATTGCGGCTTCAGTTCCAACCACTTCAACTTCGGTGTGCCAGCCAGCCATCACAAGGCTCCAGGCCACACCCTTAAGGACCAGGGTTCTGGTAGCCTAGTGGTTTGTTACTTGCCCTGCCCTTTGCCCAGGGGGGGTTGAACCCCCAAAGGGGGCCAAACCAAGGCAGAGCAATAACGGCCAGATAGGCGACAGCCAGTGGGACAACAGATCCTGATGATGGCTTTGTTGCTTTGTCCTTTTCCTTTCTTTCTTCCTGTTGTTTGTCTTGCCTGTGGTGGCTGGTGCTGGTGCTGCTGCCTTGTGGTGGGCAGTGGGTATGATGTTGAGATTTTCTATTTTAGGGTTAAAGGGTTTAGGGTTAAAAAAAATAGGGTGACGGTTAAAGGTGGATCAACTGAACAGCTTCAAACCCTTGCTAACTTGGGCTTTCCTCCCATGTTAACTCCTCGATGACAAGGCCTTTCTTGAGCTTGGAATGCATGTGTATATGTAGATATGTATGTTATGTATGTACGTGTCCATGTATGTGTCCATGTATGTATGTATGTATGTATGTATGTATGTGGGTACCTATTTATTATGTATGTATCTGAACATATGTGTGCGGACATGTATGTAAATGCATGTATGTATGTATGTGTGTATGTATGTATGTCTGAACGCATGTATCTTTGGGCCTTCCTCCAATGTTAACTCCTCGATGACAACGCCTACCTCCCATGTAAACTCCTCGACGACAAGGCCTTTCTCCCATGTTAGGCCCCCGAATTACCCCAAAGACAGGAGGCAAAACCGCCAGGAAAGACATCAGAGTTATATATCCCAAGGCAGGAGCCAAAACCTCCAGGAAAGACGTCGGAGTTTCAGTATCCCGAAGACAGGAGGCAAAACCATCAGGAAAGACATCAGAGTTATCCCAAGGCAGGAGTCAAAAACACCAGGAGAGACATCAGAGATACGCCAAGACAAAACGGGCCGACATCAAAAGCAGCACGAAGAACACAAGCATCAAAGCATCAAAATCATCACCAAAGGTCTTGTTGTCGCATTGCAGCCGGGTCGACGTCAAAAAAAGGATGAGGAACACAAACATCAAGTCGTCAAAATCATCACCAAAGGTCTTGTTGTCGCATTGCAGCCGGGCCGACGTCAAAAGAAGGATCAGGAACACAAACATCAAATCATCAAAATCGTGTCATGCTGTTTTATGCCATACTGAAAAAAAAACACACTTGCAGCCCCAGACCACTCAATGTTTGACAACGTTTGACCCCGGCCCTTGCGATCGCTCTGCTCTTTTTGCCCGCCCCGTGGCTCAAGCCTGGCTGCCCCCATCTCTTTGGATGGCTTCTACTCTTCGCCGGTTCTCTTCAGTCAACCAAGTCCAACATCGCCTGCAGACCTTGATGGCGTCGAACCCCCCGTTGCCCAACCACCGGCAGCCCAGGTCGCGATGTGCTAACCTGCTGCGGTCTTCTCTGGTCACGAATAGTAGGTGATCCGGACTTGGGGGGTTCTGACGCAGGTCCGGCACAGGTGTACCTCGCAGACGTCAGCATACAGTGCACAGGCACATCCCACGGTATGCACTGTTCCAGCTGTCGACTTCACAACCAGTAGGCCCCGGATTGCTGCAAAGCAATCGCCACCAGCACCGTGCTCCATGTGCCAAGGTCGTTGTGGTGCGGTTTGGGGCTGGGGTTTGGCCTGTACAGCGCTGCGACGTGGACAATCAAACTTCAATTGAATCAACTGAACAGCTTCAATCCTAGCAACTTCACAAGTACTGGCTTCAGTTCTACAGTTCTAACATTACTAATGGCTTCAGTTCCAACCACTTCAACTTCGGTGTGCCAGCTAGCCATCACAAGGCTCCAGGCCACACCCTTAAGGACCAGGGTTCTGGTAGCCTAGTGGTCTGTTACTTGCCCTGCCCTTTGCCCAGGGGGGGGTTGAACCCCCAAAGGGGGCCAAACCAAGGCAGAGCAATAACGGCCAGATAGGCGACAGCCAGTGGGACAACAGGTCCTGATGATGGCTTTGTTGCTTTGTCCTTTTCCTTTCTTTCTTCCTGTTGTTTGTCTTGCCTGTGGTGGCTGGTGCTGGTGCTGCTGCCTTGTGGTGGGCAGTGGGTATGATGTTGAGAGTTTCTATTTTAGGGTTAAAGGGTTTAGGGTTAAAAAAAAATAGGGTGACGGTTAAAGGTGGATCAACTGAACAGCTTCAAACCCTTGCTAACTTGGGCTTTCCTCCCATGTTAACTCCTTGATGACAAGGCCTTTCTTGAGCTTGGAATGCATGTGTATATGTAGGTATGTATGTTATGTATGTACGTGTCCATGTATGTATGTATGTATGTATGTATGTATGTATGTGTGTGTATGTATGTATGTATGTATGTATGTATGTATGTATATATGTATGTGTGTATGTCTGTATGTATGTATGTATGTATGTATGTATGCATGTATGTATGTATGTATTTATGTATGTATGTATGTGTGTATGTATGTATGTATGTATGTATGTATGTATGTATGTATGTATGTATGTATGTATGTATGTATGTATGTATGTATGTATGTATGTGGATACCTCCTTATTTATGTATGTATCTGAACATATGTGTGCGGATATGTATGCAAATGCGTCTGCATGCATGTGTGTGTAGAGATGTAATTATATTGGTACGTATGCATGGATGAATGCATGTATGTATGTATGTGTGTATGTATATGTATGTCTGAATGCATGTATGTCTGTTTGTATGTATGCCTGTTTGTATGAAAGTATGTATGTATGTACCTATCTATGTATGTATGACTTTATTTTTGTATGTATGCATGCGCGTGTGTGTATATGTATGTATGTATGTATGTATGCATGTAGGAAGACAGCATTCAAGAAAGGAGGTTTGAGGCCCTAACAGGAATCTTCAAGCCCTGTAGGTTACATAGCAACGCAGCAACCTCTCAAAGTAAGCCCTTCGTTTGAGGCCCCCCAAAGTTCAATCTTCCACCGTCGACATCCCATCCTCGCTGCCATGGTTATAAAAGCTGACGTGCGTACTGGCCAGGTGACAAAAAACTTACAGATAACAGAAGTGTGGGAAAGCCGTGAAGTTGCACTTGACCTCACAACCACCATCTTGCGCCCCGTCCAACTGCATTGAAGGGCTGCTTGGTCCTTTCGGTCCGTGCGGGGCTTCCTTCCTGCACGTTAAGGCTATGCTATGTTCGGCAACTTGTGGCTCTGTTGGCCGTTTTTGGAGGCTATGTCGGGCTATTAGGAAGCCATGTTGGGACCATGTTCTTCCCCTTTTGCCTCTATTTGACGGCTTCTGAGGGCTATGCCGGGACATTCGGGACATTTGGAGGCTATGTTGGGACTATGTTGGGCAGACAGGGGGCTTTGCTGGTGAGTTTTGAGCGATATGTTGGGCCATTTGGGGCCTATGTTGGGCCACTTGGAAGCCATGTTGGACCCATCTCGCGAAGATTGGGGCGCTGCTGGTGCTTCTATGTTGGGCCATTTGAAGGCTATATTGGGACATTTGGAGGTTATGTTGGGACTATGTTGAGCAGCTTGGGGCTCCGCTGGTAATTTTTGAAGGCTATGCTGGGCCATTTGAAGGCTATGTTGGGCCACTTGGAAGCCATGTTGGAACGGTGATTTTTGAAGTCTATGTTGCGGCATTTGGGGCCTATATTTGGCAATTTGGAGGTTATGTTGGGACTATGTTGGGCAGCTTGGGGCTCTCTTGACGGCTTCTGGGGGCTCTGTCGGGCCATTTGAAGGCTATGTTGAGACTATGTTCGGCAACTCGTGGTTCTGTTGGCGGTTTTTGCATGCTATGTTGGGCCTTTTGAAGGCTATGTGGGGCCATTTAGAAGCTACGTTGGAACTATGTTGGCCAGCTTGGGGCTCTCTTGGCGGCTTCGGGGGGCTCTGTTGGGCCATCTGAAGGCTTTGTTGAGGCTATGTTCGGCAACTCGCGGTACTGTTGGTGGTTTTTGCGTGCTATGTTGGGCCTTTTGAAGGCTATGTTGGGCCATTTAGAAGCTATGTTGGAACTATGTTGGCCAGCTTGGGGCTCTCTTGGCGGCTTCTGACGCCTATGTTGGGCGGTTTGGAAGCTGTGTTGGGACTATGTTGGGCAGCTTGAAGTTTTCTTGGCGGCTTCTGGGGGCACTGTTGGGCCATTTGACCGCTATGTTGAGACTATGTTCGGCAACTTGTGATATCGTTGGTGGTTTTTGCATGCTATGTTGGGCCTTTTGAAGGCTATGTTGGGGCATTTAGAAGCTATGTTGGAACTATGTTGGCCAGCTTGGGGCTCTCTTGGCGGCTTCTGACGCCTACGTTAGGCCCTTTGGAGGCCATCCTGGGACTGTGTTTTGCACCTTGGCGGCTTCCGACGCCTATGTTGGGCCGTTTGGTAGCCGTGTTGGGCCATCTGCAGGCCCTGGTGGGGCTATGTTGGGCAGCTTGGGGTTTCTCGGCGGCCTCTGAAAGCTATGTGAGGCCATTTGGAAGCCGTATTGGGACTACGTTAGGTAGCTTGGGGCTCTCGTGGCAACATTTGAAGGCTGTCTTGGGCCATTTGGAGTCTATTTTGGTGCCATTTTGGGCAGCTTGGGGCCCAGATGGCTGCTTTTGAAGGCGATGTTGGGCCGTTTGGAGGCTACCTTGGGGATTTCTTGGCGGCTTCTGACGCCTAAGTTGGGCGGTTTGGACCCCGTGTAGCTGGAATCGCAAGGAGCTCTCGTTTTCGCCAAATTCAGGATGCCGCCAGGTAAGATCATTGGCAAAGGGGTGAAAACACCACCACTTTCCTGACAGCATCCACGTTTAACATCTCCATGACAGCAAATCCCCAGTACTTGCTGGTTTCCTAAAACGGGGGTATACACCCCTCATTTTAAAGGAATATTGCCCATTATAAACCAACCATTTTGAGGTACTCCCATTTATGGAAACCAACCCCATGGCATCCCCACTACATTGCAAGATTCTTCCGGCCTTGGCATCGTGATGAGTCTGCGAGCAAAGACACCTCGACACCGGAGTGGCCATTGCTATCCAAATCATTCGGGATTCCAATAGCCCATCTGAAAACATTCAAATCTTCACCAAATGTACATCTTATTTATCGAAAATCATATCCATAGAAATTCATTGAACATAGTTTAAAAATGAAAATCCAACATCTAATTTTAATGGAATTCAATTTTCCATAGAAATTCATAAACTACAAAAAAAGATCCATATAAATCCAAGACCTGGGTCTTCCCACTCCAATTTCTTCAACTTCTCCTGCTTTTCCAGCGGCAGAGCCGCTAGAGCACTTACAGTGTCTGCGAAGCACGTGGCGCCCCCTTCGGGGGGTGTCTGCCTAGCGGACTGGAGGGAAAATCTGCAGGAAACGATGGATTTCCCATGGATATCACGGAAGCCAAACGATCCTGACAGAACTTGGTTTTCACCTATGGAAGATCCTCCATGTATGGTATATTTACCTACAACACTGGGTGATTTTTAGGGTAAATGTTGGTAAATATACCATACATGGAGCATTTGGGCTATGGAAGATCCAGGTATTCATGCCAAACATGCAATTTTCTACGCATCAATCAAAACATCCAATTTAGCACAATGATCTATCAATGCAATTTCATCCTGGCAATGTCATTTTTTTTTCACAAGGCACGTTTTTGGAAAGGCAAGTTGGATAACAAAAATAATCTATAAACAGGGAAGTTTCCAGCAAGCCAGCTGAGATTAGCAAAGCATAGACTTGAAAAAGGTTGCGAAAAAGGAACATGTGGGGGTTTCCATAAATGGAGGTACCCCAAAATGGTTAGTTTATCATGGAAAATCCCATATATTAAAATGGATGATTTAGGGGTACCCCCATTTGCTCAATATTTTGCTGTCATTGAATGGTTGGAAAGTTTGAGCAACGCCACATGACAAAGTCTCATGCAAAGAACAAACACGGAGCCGTAAAGTAGGGCCACAGTCATGGCCCGAAATACCTTTTTTTCTGTAGAAGTCAGTGAAATAACTGTAAAAAAAACATGGAATGACAACTTGATAACCCCATTTACCATCTATACATCAGTTTGCCATGGAAAGATCCACCGGTGTTTACCATCTATAAATCTATGGGCCATGGCTATTTCCCATGGCTAACAGCGTCCCTGATGGCATTGTTCACTGCACATCTCGCCTGCAGTACAGCAGAGATCCGATTGGTGCATCTTTGCGGTAGACTGAATCCTGGGCTGCAGTGGACTAATGGCAGCCTTGGATACGATCCGAACAGGTGCACTTGAGGTCTATTGAGTCTATTGCGGTATACGCATGGTTTGAACCTCCATAATATGGGATATAGCATGATATAACCCTATGGCTATCTACATCTGTATATCATAACCATCAGATTCCACTCGCAAAACTGGAGCAATTCGGAGAGAATAGTTGGACCGACTCAAACAACTTTGCAGATGGGAGTTCATCCAAGGGTTTCTCACTCAAGTCTGCATTGGACATCAGAAAATTAGCGATCTGAAACGAGTTTTCACAGTGGGATATCATAGAGCTTGCTGTCATGTCTGCACTTCGAGGTTGCTGACACAAATCTAAGACCCCATCTGCAGATGGTGTTGGTGAAGTGATTCCCAGGGCATTCACATCATCCATCATCATCCGTGACTCCAACGACCAGGCACTCTGCAAGACTGCAACAACCCAGCTGTGGAACAAAGCTGGTCATCTGTGTCACTTTCAGCATTTGGGATGATATTTTACCCCAATATTGATGGTTGAAACATGTTGAAACCCTCTTATTGGTAGTAAATATTGACATGTTCGTGGCACATATTCCCATCTCCATTCTTAAATCCATCAATCAAAAACCGCATTTTTTCAATGGTTAAAAGTCAACCGGATTATTGATGCTTACTATCCCCATCCTCAAGGCTTTCATCTCCACCACTGGGCCCTTGCCACGCGGGACGACTGCCATGCAGCGGTGTGCCACCCAGGCTTGCGATCGCAGGGTCGATACTGCGAAGAGCCGCCTTTTTGTTGTGGTTTTTCGTGGATGGAAACAATCAGAGCCCAAGCATTTGGGATGGTTTTCCCACATTGTTCCACGGTTTTCCCACATTTTTCCATCGTTTCCCTACCATTTTTCCAAGAAAAAGTGTCCTTTTGGTAAAAATAGAGGGGCCGGGAGCTGGTAAACCAATGGAAAATAACCTGTTCTTAAAGGGCTTTGTTCAAACCCCCCTATTCATCACCCAACGTGCAAACGGTGGATTTTCCATGTCGCAACCTGTGAAATTACCGGAGGGTACCCAAAAAATTGGGTCGATATTGGGGGTCGATGGACCAACAGAAACTGGTTTTAGGAATGAACCGACCTTCTTATTGGGGTCCAACCATTCTTATAATTTATCTGGATACATGTACTCACGAATTCACTAACCTGAAATGTTCGGCTATGTTGAGGTCGCTATCCTGGCGTGTGGAGTTGGGCTGATGAATGCTGAAAACCCAGTAGATTCCCCATGGTGGACTTGCCCAAGGGCGAAATAAAACATCATCTTCAGCAAATCCCGAAAAAAAAGGGGTTGCCAGACAAATTGTCTAAAAACATCCTGTTTGGATCCACTTGGGATGTGAATTCTACGTTACTTCACCGCGGAATCCACTGCTTTTAACACGAATCCCTGGTACTTCTGCGGGATGTTCGTCCCCAGTGGCCATGAAGTAAAATCCAATGGGATCCCAGGCCACACCAAGGCGGCGCAAGGGATGACATAAGTTGGCCGCAAGCCTTTGTTTGGCTGAGAAGTTTCAGTAGCGCTGGGCATGTTTGATGACAGATGACCTTTCGAACTTGCCCATAGCGCCATCAAATGTGCGATTCCACCGTTTTCCAACTCATCGGGGTACCCCCAAATCATCCAAAACTCGATTGGTTGTCAGGTCATTTGCAATGGTATAAAACCTAACCACATGGTTTATATGTTAGGACTATAGTTGTTTCAATACTATCATGACCATTATGTTTGATACCCTCAGGTAAACTAACATACCTATTGAACATGGCCATTTATAGTGGAATTATCCATTAAACATTGTGGTTTTCCATAGTTATGTTCGTTTACCAGAGGGTAGTATTGAAACAACCATGGTGATGACTGGGGACCTCCATCCGGATGAATCCCAGATGCTGCCATCAAGGCCATCAGGACGACGTTGTTTTTTTTTTCGTAAAGACTTTGCACGGCACCGCGCGCGGCGACGAATTTCCAAAATGTTCACATCTCTAACATCTGCTCCATCCAATGAACAAAAACCACTTTGGGTTTGTCTGAAAATAGGCCAAGACATAGCCCATAGGATCCATGGTGCTGCTATATATGGTAACATGGATCCCATCAATATACCCCAGTCATGTTAGCATATATGCCAGCACCATGGATCCGTCATGGGTAATGTTTGATCACTATTTTCCATATTAAAAGTGGGCCGTATATTGAGGCTATGCCCATTTCCAGACAAACCCACTACTACCCAACACGATTGCTGGTTCATAGCCGAAATCATAGCCTTGTTGAAACTTCATCCCCCCCATATAAATGGTTCACAGCCCCCCATGATACTGGTTAATATGCCCACGACTAAAGGTTCATATGCCAATTTATGATTTTGATGATTATTCATAACACATGCTTGTTGATAACGATCAATCATTCATGATTAATGATCACTTTATCAATCTGGGAATGAGTACTGGATTATTATACTATGAATCTAAGAATGATCATTCATGTCATGATCATTTTATGATTGTTGATCGTGATGTCAGTGGATTTACGGAATAAGTATGGCAAATTTCACATACTTCTTGAAGAATCGCCCATAAACATGGATGATTTGCATTTCTTTACCCATTACCCTCTGGTAAACGTTTACATAGCTACGGAACATCACTATTTTCATAGGTAAATCACCTATTTCTATGGTCCATAGCTATGTAACAAATTACCAGAGATTACCAGAGGGTAAACATGGGGATACCCCTAAATCAGCCATTTTCGGCGGATTTTAAAAAAAAAAACATTTTTGGGGTACTTCCATTTATGGAAAGCCCCATTTGCCTATCTTTACCCGTTAAGGCCTGGGGACTTTCCACTTTCGTTTCAGGCCTGGGGGCAGCAGCGGATCGAAGGCGTTGAGAGAGGTGATGCGCTTCGTGACCGGGTCGTAGGTATTGCCGATGCGCATGACCTCACACCGTGGCGTAGCACGGCTTCCGTTGTACTTCATGTTAATCAATGAATACATAAATACATATGTAGTATGTATGTGTATATATATATATGTGTACTCATATATATATATATGTACTCAAGTATATATATATATAGAGATAATCATATATAATGTGTACATATTCATGGACATACTATACAAACCACAAGCTTAACATAGTTTCTACTTTAGCAAGATAGTATGATGCATTATATTATTGATTGTATTATATTGTAGTGGATTGAAGTATCTTTCTGTGTATCGTATATGATTGAAAACACAAGCTGTTCCCTAAATAAGTGTAGAAGCCAAGCCTAGGTGCCACCGGTAAGCTTTTGCTGTGCGTTCATGGCTTTCCTGGCGAATCAGAAAACGTATTCTGCATCGCAGCTATGATTGAAGCTGGGATGAAATAGAATGAAGCCCTGTGAAAGTGGAACAGAAAACAAATGCCTCGAACCCCATTCAAATTTGCCTACCACTTTTAGCACCATGAAGTTACTGTAGAGGAATTAGCTCAATTTTGGTAGTTATTCAGACTTTAGATTTTCTGCAAAAGGGCCCAGGATACGAATCGCTGGAATGAGGAGACGCATCATCTGTGTCCAGGAAGCTTTGTACCAGCGCCCCACAGGTTGATAGACAATGCCCCAAATACATACAGTCAGTACTGGCAAATATCCCATAGATTTACTCTTTCAGGTTGCCTTTCAGGTATCAGAAGAGCCAAGGATACGTAGAATCAGGTTTTTAAGGCTATATTGTCCCTGGCTTTATTGTGCGTTGCCGAAATCAAACGATTTGGAACCTCACGTTTTCTGTTAAAATGGCAATGTTAGTGTATATATATGTATACATCTATATATATATGTATGTATACATATATATATATATATACGTATGTATATATATATATATGTATATATATGTATGTATATATATAAATAAATATGTGTGTATAAAATTTCCCAATTTATGGATGATTTTCCCATTCCAAAACTTCCTTTGGATTTTTTTCTATACCCGAGGCGAGCCGAAAATCAAGCTGCACCAGCCGGGTGACTCGACTCTCACCACTCACTGCGAACCTCGCAAGCTGGCCGTGGCGACGCGTCTCAAAGATGGGATATGATTCCCCAGCAAATTGGGGAATATATCGATTTAATGGGATTTAATGGGAACATCATCTATAGATTGGGATTTGAATATGATTTACCATCTGGCTATGACTAACAGTTCGCCATGGAAAGATCCACCATGCTATTAAGAACGGTAAACCATCTATTTCTATGGGCCATCTATACCATGGCTATGTAACAAATAACAAGAGGGTATCGATTTCTGAATCACCAATGTGGTAAACTATCTCCAATATCGACATGTTGGTGGTGAATATATGTGAATATCATCCCCACATGGTAGGTTTATTCTTGGGTTTACCACAGAAAATCGGTATTAACTGAGGATATAACATGGAACATGTTATTAACACAACTTTTGGATAAACATATGGTTTCATATGGACTCGGGAAAACCAGGTTTATCCCATGGCAGGTAATAAGAACCAACAATCATAAAGTGTTTTCACACAGCAACAGGAATCACAAGAATCATGGCTTTGACATGCTGCATTCACCTCCACAATGTCCACTGAAAAATCAGGGAAAATCAATCTTTCAACCATGCTTATCCAGGTTTCTTCGGTGAACCAAAATTATCCCAAGTTTGCGGCTCCATTGGTACCCCAAATCGGAGATTGAGTCACCACTGGTCTGGTGAATGATTGGAGCATCCATTTTTTTTTCCCACGGAAATAGCTAGACCCTCATTCACAACTTCCACCAATTGGTATTCTACCAGCAGTGATGCAATTTTTGAGCAATGCCCACACTGCCTTGGGTTGAATATAATATATATAGTTATAATATATATATATATAGTTTTAAAAGTAAAAATAATTGTAACAAAAGATGAAAACATGTGTATGTATATATATATACACGAGCAATATCATGTATATATATATATGTTGTGTATATGAAAGTATATACATATACACATCAGATATCTTCAACCATTTCAGCACTTCAGAAGTTGGCGTCTGAGCGCCGCACTGTTGCTTGCTCTCATCAAGCTCATCTTCCACCTGGCGCGCAGCAAGAGAAGCACGTCGGGGAGAGACCCTCTGCTAAACGATCAAACTATAGGAAAACCATGGGAAAACCTTATGAAAAGCATGGGAAACCATAGGAAAAAAAGGAAACATGATGACTTCACCAAGCAACATGGTGATTCTTGCTGGGATTTATATCTGATTTATGATAGCTAAGTTGGTGGACATAACTCCAATAACTATGGTTTATGACACTTATACTATAGTTAATGGGGTTTATAAACCTCTTATAACTGGGGGGCCACATTGTAACACTTTGCGAACTGGGAACTCACCATTTTTTAATAGGTAAAACAACTGTAAACCACCATGTTCAATAGCTATGCTAATTTACCGGAGGGTCTTTGCAAATGATGGGTGGTTACTGGGTGATTGATGATTGCTACCACTAAATAGGTGTGTGGGTGGCCACGTAATGATATTTTGCATTATTCATCATTATTCTATATTAAATACCCTGTACTTCTGGGATACAGAAAATGAATAGATCCGATACTAAACCAGGGCTTCGATTGGGGAGCATAATTTTTGAGAATGGATTTGGGGTTGAGCCACCAGAGGCAAAGATGGGGACTCTCACCACATGAAACCCACCAGAAATGGATCGATCAGTGAATACCTAGCGGCTTCAATTCTCATTGCTAGGGGGGAAACAAAAAGCACACGCTTGGGGTTTGACAAAACCAAACCGCGGTACTGTTTTCCTCCAGAAAATCGTTTGCATTGAAGGCCAAAAAGTAGAAGAAATCCCTAGATTTACCACGATTCACCAGTCAAAAAAGCCATGCTTCCCTCAAATCACAGGGTCAAATCCATCAGCCTCACCGAACAGGGCGCTGATGCACACCATTTCTCCTGGCTGGTGATGTAACAATAGGTGTTGGTATACATAAATATAAATATATATATATATGTATCTGTGTGTGTACCCCCTTATATGGATAAGCTGAGTAAGCGGATGCCTCTTGTCTTTTGGACAAATATTTTTACCCTGATAAATATTATGTATAATAAACATATATATGTATAATATTATCATTATTACTACTACTATTATTGTTACTATTATATGTATATATATAGACATTATATTGTGTTTCTGTTCGCTAATGAGTAGAGTTGCACCTTTAAAGCATGTTTTCTTGATTTTTGTTGGTATATTTTCCTATTGGTGAGCATCTTAAACGTGTCCACCAAGGTGTGTACAAGTGATATGGTCATCCCACCGGCCATTCCTCGATGAATCCCTAGTTTCATGGATTGGTGACCCCCGATGACCACGGGTTGGTCTGAAAATGGGGTACCCTTAAGGGTTTTGTCAAAAGTCCATAAAACTCCAAGGTTTCGTCAAAAATACCTAGGTAGCAATCCCATAGGATCCATGTAGGCTATATATGGTAACATGGATCCCATCAATATACCCCCAATGTTAGCATACCAGCACCATGGATCCTATGGGATTTTTTAAACATGAGCCATTTAAGAATTCGGGGCATCCCCTCTGAATGATTGGCATCTGGGAGAATCACCTGAGAATCGCCGTAGAGAAAGCCTCCTTCCAAACATCGGCATTGCGGCGGAAATCCCATGGTTTTTCTTTTCCAGAACGCGCAGCAGAATCTGCAGACACCACAACATTAACAGCGTCTCTTGCACTGCTTCACGTCCCAAGTTTTACAGAATCGGTTCTCTTTGTAGAAGGAACCGCAACTGAAACAGTCCTCGGATGCGGGTTCTAAAGTCATTGACACAACATAAAGTGTCAGGTTAGGTGGTTGGCTCAATGGATAAACAACTACTTCAAAACAACATGACAAACCATGACAATCCTAGCTGATCATCATCAAAAAAAACAGATTAATGATCGACAACATATCTGTCAACCAACATGAAACCACTTTTCCAGTAATGCAGAGTGACTCGATCGGTACTCTACGATGTTTACTGCTTGGTGGTTTCAACCTACCCCTCTGAAAAATATGAGTTCGTCACTTGAGTCAGTTGGGATGATGACATTCCCAGTAGATGGAAAGTCGTAATCCATTCATGTTCCAAAGCACCAGTTTTTTAACCAATCAACTCGTAAAACCTCCAAAAAACCAAGCTTTTTTCGGCCCAACTTCTGAACTGGCCATGTGCACTGCTAATGCTGGTGAACTTCCATGAAATTCCACAGTACCCTTTTTTTGAGCATTCCTCAAATCTGTCAAACTAATCTGGGAAAACATGGGAAAACTATGTTGGTACCCTCTGGTAATTTGTTACATAGCTATTGAAAATGGCCATTGAAATAGTGGATTTTCCCATTTAAAATTGTGATGTTCAATAGTTATGTAAACGTTTACCAGAGGGTAACTATACGTATTGCCAAACAATAGTAAGACCATGAACAGGGATGATTCTCCACTTTCTACCCATCATTTCCACCATGAAAGACCACATATCAGCCCCTTTGATTGGCCGGCCAGATATCCACCTTCTATATCTTCATTGACCCCTCACTTGACGCCTAAAAACTGGTAAACATACTAGCTACAACATCATGAAGTGAACATATGTTTTAACGCTTTAATTGAGGGTTAAGGTAGCTTGAGAATGTCGATAGAACCACCCCCAAAAATAGAAACGTGACGTCCAATTATAAAATGAAGGTAAAACATCTGTAATCTATCAGCATATGCGTGGTTCCAAAAAGAGGATCCAATCATCTCCATGCCGGATGGTATTTTTTTCCGGCCCATTTCATGCTTTTTGAATGCAGAGAAAGGTGGAACTCCCAATCATCGGTTACTGGGTAACCGGATTTCCAGTGATACAGACAAACATAGAACAACCATCTAATATCAATCATGATTTATATAATATGTAATTATATATTATATATATGTTTTTATGTAAACTTAAAAATACTGGCAAATGATCTCAAAAATATCTAAATTGCTATCTCAGTAAGTATTACTAGAAATAGCATCTTTTTTATGGGGCGCCTCCTTAAAACGATGTTCAAAAAACAGCTTTCCAAGTCGTCACTTCACTCGAAACGCTTCCGAGGTGCCGAGTTGTGTACCTTGCAGGACTTGGTGTAGGAGTTGGGTGGTCCACCACGACACATCTCCCGCACGAACTGCTCGACTGCAGAGGCCGAGCCCTCCACATGTCCCAGGACACAGCCGCAGGTGGGACAGGGCGAATGGGAGCCGTCCAAGGTTGAATCACCACCTGAAATTTCATGGGATTTCACGGGATATCCGGGGGGTACCTACCATATGTAAAGCCTATTTTTGAGGCCTATGTAAGGGGATATACCCCCAAAATATGGCCTTATATGGTACAGTACCTCCATTTTAGGATCCTGGAATTCCCATTGATCATGGGGTTGTAACGGGAAAACACAAAGGTTTCATCGGGACATTTCGAGAAAAACGCATTTTTGGGGTATAACATGGTATGACTATCAATAATGGGAATACTAAGCGGCTGTTCAATTAGGTGAACTAGGGATATGGATTTTTACACTACATAAATCCATCATTTCACCCATATGATCCCTAGTTATGTACGGTAAAAATCACTACGTTTCACTAACTTCATAACTTAACTAGGGATCATATGGTTTTTTACCGTACATAAATATACACAAACTAAAAATAACTTAACTCATCATTTCAAACCTTTAGGGCACCTGAAAATGTGGTAGTTTTGCTGTCCTCTGAGGCCTGTGATTTTGTGACTCGTGACTCGTAAATCTCTGGACTGGTTGAAATCACTCAGTCTTGTAGCTTTCTATATACCAGCACCATGGGGTGCATGTTCGGGAACACCATGGGTTGCATGTTGAAGTGTTGTTATGCTTGTTATGCTTGTTATGCTGAAAATGTGGGGAATGTTTGAAAACAAACGTCTTCTCACCCAGCTGGAAATCGGAAACTCGTGATCCACCATGACTGGCAATGTGAAATTCCCCAAAGAATCGTTGCTTTAAGTGGAACATGATCTATCAGGGTGTGGAGGACTACCCCGGCTGAAGGATGTCTTGGTCTGTCATGATATTTAATGCACATAAATCGAATTTGGTATACATCATGAGCAAAATATTCCTATCCATAAATTTTGTCCCAAAATGAGACATCCCCCAAACTTACAACTTTACTAGGATAAATATTAATTCACCAATTTCTTTGGGGTACCCAAATTTGAGACAAACCCTGATAGCCACTTGGGATAATCATGAAAAAAAAGTGGCCCAAGAAAAAACAATAGAAACAACAACCCACACGTACCCTCTGGTTATGTCAAAATAGCTATTGAAAATGGTGATTTAGTTTGTGGATTTTCCCATTGAAAATGGTGATTTTCCATGGCTATGTTAAATAACCAGAGGGTAATTCAACCCACACGTATTACTGGTGGTTTAAGTTAGGTGTTCGGAGGCCACTTTTTAGTGCGAAGGATTCATAAATTTGTTAGGAATCCAAAAAACACCAGGCCCCACGCAAACAGTCAAGAAAACATACAGCCGATGAAATTATAGTTCCAAACAATTGATCAAATGGATGATGTATCCTCATGATTCCCTTGGGGAGCATATCCCCAGGCACTATTCCATAGAAAAGAATCAGACAATCAGTCTCAGTTTCATATCAGTTCCTCATATTGAACCATCTTAAAAAATATGAGTTCGTCAGTTGGGATGATGAAATTCCCAATATATGGAAAAATAAAACATGTTCCAAACCACCAACCAGTTCCACACTCTAGTAAGTTCACACTTTGCGATTGAAAATCGCCATGTTCCCCGTATGTTTAGTAGGTAAATCATCGAACTAAACGGTCCATGGCTTCCCATTGCTAATCCCCAAAGCCCCGACCTGAAATTCCCATCACTCAAGGACAGTTCCAGTGAACTAAGTGGATAGATTTCACCATAATCATCATAGTTATACGTAGTGAATATATCCCAGCAAACATGGGGGCCTATATCCCAACACGACACGCTGAAACCACATACCCAGCTGCCATTGGCCACCCATCCCTTGACGCCATATCTTCGGGCTCTGCCAACGGCCCAGTTGCGATAGTGAACCATTTGAACCTTTCCGGTGACCCTGAAATCTTGACCTAAACACGCCGTGTCGGGGGGTGAATCCAATTTATGTGATTCAGAAGCCAGGTTGATAACTGGGGTGCCACACATCATCACTTCCGCTACAAAAATTGAATATTTAATTACAGCCCAAATGAACGCCTGATTTAGTATAAATCAATTATATCCGTTTGTTTTGGGTCTGATACTTGGGGGCATATTCAATTCACACGTCCTGGAGATGGGAAAATCGGAACGTTCGGTTGCAACATGGTTACCCACTGACAAATCAAACATGGCAATGGACAATCCCCAATTTAGTTCGACGATTTCTCCATTTAAACACCACTTACGATGCCTGAGAAGCACATCCAGGTTCGTATCCAAGTCGACCCCATGAGGCAAAACTGAGACCTGTCCCCCAACTGAACAAAAACTCCCTAGGACACGGAAATATTTACCCCTACCCCACAAAAAAACCTTAAAAAAATGTTCATTAAAAATACCCCTATCCCATCACATTAGACTAGTTGGTTGAGTATAACTCCTTGTTTCATACCCACTTAACAAGGGTATTTTTAATGGCTCAATTGGCTCAGCAGGTTTCATATATTTCTGTTCAGTCACACTTTTGGCCCTTGGTGCGAAACTGGGCTCGTTCCAGATGGTCAAACTCGATCACGTTCGAGACAGCACGTGTTTGTAATGCCACAAAGCCACAGTCTTCCTGGCAGCGTTGCCCAAGGCTCAGCAGATCTATGGAAATAGACACACAGGTTGAGGTTTTTTCAACCTGTTCGAGGTATAAAACCTTGAGGTTTAAAACCAGGTCGAGGTTCAAAACATTTTAAAACATAGATTAGCAAAGTTATGGAATCTGCATTTGAAATTTTCTTGTGAAATTGAGCCTGGGACCAAGTTCCTCATCACACAAGCGTTGCTGGACGTGGCTTCAACATTTTGGAGAGCATTGCTGTTAATGCCTTATAACGAAAACAGACTGCAGGGCTAGTTGGAATATGTTGGAATGAAATCCAGGTCATACACTTATATATGGCATACTATTCGATAGATCATAGATCAACACTGTGTCCATTGCAATTAGGATTGGTTTGTGAGTGCATAGAGGGACATCCATGGCATCATGGCCTCCTTAGAACCATAACTCAGCCTTAAAAAAACAATTTACAGAAAGCCCACGGAAATGGTTGATTTACATAGATATATGCATCTGGTTGGTGGTATACCTACCCCTATGACAAATATGAGTTCGTCAGTTGGGATGATGATTATTCCCAATATATGGAAAGTCATAAAATTCATGTTCCAAACCACCAACCAGATATCTAGTAACATTGAGATAGAATTGGTAGTGGGTATTTACCGAATCTATCTGTGACTACCGCAACAGGAAAAATCAAAACAAAATAACTATATATAGAAATAGAATACCACATCATCCACATCCAAAACAACGCTTATCATTGGCTGTACCATGCTGCATCACATTGAGTCAACTCCCAAATAATAGATTTTACAGTAGTCCGATTATACAGTGTTGTGCATATGTATTTCCGGAAACATATATTAAAACAAACTGTTTGATCAAACAAATTACTCATTACCAATATTTGTTTAAAAAAACAGTTTAGGATTGTTACCGGTTGGTGGTTTTTATCATCTTGAAAAAATATTAGTCAATGGAAAGGATTATCCCATATATATTATGGAACATAAAATTCATGTTCCAAACCACCAACCAGGTTACATATTGTTACCAAAATCCAATTCCGACTTCAGAATTCCGTCCCAGCGTGAGCCCTGTATCATCCAGGTACCGCTGCACTGCACTCGTCTGGCACAGCATCAGGAAGCATGGCCTGCGGCGAATCCCCAGTGGATGGTTCATGGAAAATGCCCCCAAATAATGAATGATTTAGGGGTACCATGACTTAGGAAACATCCTAAGTCTTTGTGTTTGGATACATTTGGATATTATGGTTTGTGGCATGATGGCCCCATGTGAAACATGCATCACAATTTGCCTCCCTTCTTTTCAGTGGGATTCTCTGGGTATCAAGACTAATTGAAGAGATCTACAACAAACAGGAAACACAGTTCATCTGGTTGGTGGTTTCAACCCCTCTGAAAAATATTAGTCAATGGGAAGGATGACATCCCATATATCATGGAAAATAATCCATTCATGTTCGAAACCAACAACACAGTTCATGATCATGAAGAAATTACCAACATATCTCGATAAATATCTCTGGCTGAGACTAAAATCTTGACCCAAAGCCCAGCTCGCAGATATCTAAGCGGATCATGCTGCGGACATTTTTTTTCGGGCGCTGGTTATGAAGGTGTTGACAGCTGTGACTAAATCCCACCAAACACAGGCCTTCTCAGTCTATTCCAAATTCGACCCACAGAACATCAGATGCTATCCATGTTTATCATGTTCTATCCAATATGCCCTCTGGTAAACTAACATAGCTACGGAAAATCACTATTTTAAATAGGTAAATCAACTGGAATGGGCCATGTTGAATAGCTATGTAAACGTTTACTGGATGGTAAATAACTAATACTGTACCCTCTGGTAAACTAACATAGCAATGGAAAGATCCACCATTTTTAATGGGAAAATCCACTATAAATGGCCATTTTCAATAGCTATATATGTTAGTTTACCAGAGGGTACCATGTTTTATCCAAGTCAACATTGCGCACATGAATTTTTTGCGCGCGCCTCTCCGAGTGCCAGAGATAGCGCGCCGAGCGCGGCCCAAGGTGCCAGAGGCATAGCGAATAAAGGGGTCGGTTTTTGTGAAAATCCAAAAAATATGTGGTTTTTGTTGTTTTTTGTTTAATGTGTTTGTTGCTATTTTTTTTTCCAGAACTATGGCCAATGTCTGGCACTACATTGTCTTGGAAACTGGGGCCAAGTCATTTTCTGAGCTGATGAACTGAGGTTGCCAGTTGAAGGAAGCCGACTAGGTCCAGTCCAGTTGCAAGGACTGCAAGGACTCACCAATGAACTACACGACGGGTGCAACATGGTGCAACCGCAAACAGGATTGTTTTTTCTAAGATCCTGTGGTAGGATTGGATTAATCTAGTACAATTGTAAACAATTGGATTGTACATTACCCTCTGGTAAACGTTTACATAACTATGGAAAATCACCATTTTCAACGGGTAAATCCACTATTTCAATGGCCATGGCTTCAATAGCTATGGTGGCTGCCCAGCTGCCGTAAATCATCCCTGGGGCCCACCAACCGGCGATCATTTCCCAAATAAGTGTAATGCCAAATCAGTATTATATTAGTAGTTCATAATAAGTATCCATAATACTAGGTTAGTAGTAGTTCACTAACCTCAAAATAGTAGCTTTTTTTCGTACCTTAGTTCGTATAGCAGTTGGGGATAATCATTATTGGTAAGATTTGTTGGGGATGAATTTATTAATGATAAACCGAATGATAAACCAAATTGTTGGGGATGATGCAAATTATTCTTGCCGAAGTAGAGTGGTTCACTAACCTCAAAATAGTTGCACTGTGAGGCCTCCAAGATATAAGTTGGTTTATAAGCCCCAGTAACTAGTTCGTTATAAATACCATAAACCATAGCTATTGGAGTTATAAACCAACTTAGCTATCTTGGGGGCCTCACATTGTGCTATATGTTGCGATTATCCTATTCCCATGATTCCAGTGACGTTGCGACGTTACCATCCCCAATGGTTGATGATGTTGATTCTTTGGGTGCACTGCTTGTCGTTTTTTTACACCAGGGATGGTAAAACCAATCATAAACCGTGGTAAAACTGATCAGAATCCATTGACAAAACCGCGATGTTCCCATATTATCCAATAAATATTCACCATTACCCCATTTATCAGTACAGTTGTAGCCATTAACAGCTATATCCTATAACTGGCTGAAAAAATATAATTTAAGTGATATGTAAAAAACCTTGGCTGCAGGAGTTATTTCATCCCATGGCCAAGACTGCTGCCATAACTTTAGGCTATTACCCAACTTACTACTCTGGTTGGTGGTTTTAACCATCTTGAAACATATTAGTCAATGTCAATGGGAAGGATTATCCCATATATTATGGAAAATTAAAAATGTTTGAAACCACCAACCAGTACTGCTCCTACTGGTACCAACCCGAAGAACCACCACTATCTCCCAATGACGAATGGCCACACTCGAGTCCTGCGGTTAATTCCTTCAGTCCGCGCAGCACCAGCAAGCCGCCACGCTCCTTGCAGATTCCATGGTGACATGGCTGTGGTAAGCACCATATGGGTTGATTCAACATAGATTTAACACATATATATATGTACAAAAACAACTATTAAACCTATAATAATACCGCTATTGCAATACATGTATAAGTCTAGATATGGATAGATATGGTGGACTTAACTTTCAAAAATCATAAATGGTAAACAACATAAATTTCATGGTCAAAGCTAGGGATTGAACCAGTGAATTCCATGAATACGGGTCTCTGAGTTTCTGGGATTCACCGTCGTTTCAGGTGGTGACAGGCTATGATAACTGCGACTGAAAAAACTGGATGCGAATATAACATATAAATACATATAATACAACTAGAAACTGTTGGAATGGTTACAACTTATGTATCAAATGGGATCGAAAACATTTTAAGGCCCAAACCGGAGTTGGAATCGAAGGAGGGTGCGGGCTCACGGACAATGCCAAGTCTGGTCGCTGCATGGGCATGTGCAAACATCCCCTGGCGCTCCACTTGATCTGACAAGAAATATGCATCATAATCAATGGGAATTTCAGGATCCTAAAATGGAGGTACTGTACCATATAAGACCACATCATATTTTGTGGGGATATTCACTTACATAGGCCTTATATAGGATCCTGAAATTCCCATTGACATAATGAGTGCAGTACCAGAGGAATGCTGTTTTTGTGCCAGCATATCGTCGGTACCCATTTCCTTGCTTTTCGATAAAGGGTGCTTCCCATAGAACCCGTGGCAATGAAAGGCTGAAAGAAAGTCCAGCACATGCCAACAGCTATCTGGCACCACTGAAGCACAAGATTTCTATGAAAAAGCCGGGTGTCAAATTCAATGAGTCTTATTTGGTGGCAATCAAAATTTAGACCATTTTTATGTTGATCTTATGTTCATGTATTCTCCATCTTGGATGTTGACAATCATCAAACCCAAATAGCTCAACACACAAATACTGGTCCACTAGGTCTTGAGCCATCCTCAAAATCAACAACCATTTTTTCAAGGTGACCAGAACTTGATTTCACGTCTGCACATCATTTTTGTTATGCCAAAATCACCTGCCTTAACCTACCCTTCAGCACTGCACCCTACCCCGGTTGAAGTCCCGTACCTGCCACGCTTGGTAGAGCTGCTCTTGAAGTGCTGGCGTCTGCAAGATCCTGGCGCTACAATTAAACACAACATTGTGACTGTAGTTGCACCAAAAATCATACAGTTCTTAGTGATAGTCCTGCATACTGACAATGGCAATCTGATCATATACACATATATATATATACATATATAAATATGTATAAGAATATGTAATCATGGTCACTGGTAAACAAACAAACTAATACATCCCAATACATACATCCCAGTTTTCATCAAAATCATCATCATCATCATGATGCTGCACAACCTCGAAATGCCGATTTTTTTTTTGATCCCTTGGATATCCGTGGGTCACTCCCCCCATGAACTGATGGAAAATCACATGAACAGTGGCTGATCCATGGCCACTCAAAATAGGTTTAGCAGCTTTAGCGTATTTTGCAGGTTGCACCTACAAAAAAGGCTGGATCCCTATGAATTCACTTTTTATATCAGTGGTCCAGATTGTGTGCAGCAGCTTTTCGCCGATTCATTAGGGCGATCGAAAAGCCGAGAGGGGAACCTCTGACCTTCACCTTAAGCCATTAAAAAAAAAACAAAAACAAAAAGATCCCAGGAGATTCCCGAAATTGTGGATGAATGGGAAAATATGGAAGATAATAAATAACCTTCAGAAAATCGAAGTCAAATCGCTGGTTGTCTGTTAGTTGTTTATTGTTCTGATGGAACGTGTGAGAGCGCCGATACCCATCAACATGGATACAACCTTGCCGCAAATCCTCAACCGGACCCACACGAATTGCACGTACGCCTCTAGCATCGCGAATACAAAGCCGATTGGCAACGTCGTGCCATTCATGACAAGTGGCCCGTTCACACGACCGACGGGCACTGGAACGATGTAATTGATCCAACTCGACAGCAGCAGGTCACTGAGTATTGCGGTGAGGTTTTCAGATACCGCATACACCGGGATTAGCATGGTCAATGTGAAGTAGACCATCTGCGCCCCAAGACGCCAGCTATCCACTACAGCAGCATACCCCACCAGCCAAGGAGTTGTCACCACAAGACCCAAAGGCCTCATAGCATACCCAATACGTAGAGGTGGCATAGCAGCTTTCACCTGCTAAACCTTGAACTGGCCAATCTGCGACCCTGATCCGTCTCTACCGTTGGTTTGTCTGCAAATAGGGTAGACTCAAAAAAGAAATGGTCAACCATGATTGTTCCTATCAACAGTGCCATTTGGAGTATGAATTCATGTGAAGTCTCCAATTTCCAGACACAGCCACATATCATATATCCATTCTCATCACGTTCAAACCTGTTTGTTACCGCATTTCCAGACCAAACCATTACCTTGTTGATAGTTAACATCCTCATGAATATCCTCGTGAATTGGTGGTTAGTACCTCCGTTATTGCTGGTGATATACTTACTGTATTATAGAGGGATCATCCAATAGCTGGTGATTATACTATTATATCATGATTATATCATATACTAAGCATCTCCGATACTATTATATCATGATTATATCATATCCCACTACATGGTATGATGGGAACAATACAGGGCCGGAACATGTAAGAAGTTACCTTAACATGAACCCTCCCAAACCGGGGTTGGAAGATTGGTTTCCACATGTTTCCACTAAACACGGGCTATGTTCAAGGTCTATGTTGTCTATATGTTATAAATAGCCAGGGTACAAGGTGAGGGTCCCCCAGTTATTATCATTATTTGCGTTGGTTTATACCCTCCGGTAAACTACTATAGCTATGGAAAGTCGAAATTGTTGGTAGATAAATCTATAAATGGGTGAGCTGAAATATATGGGTCCATAGTCCTACACCTAGAAAGATGGGTCAACTATGGACGGACTATAAATGGATTATCCCGTCGATGTAACTATGCTTATGAAATGGATGAACTAACTATGGTTATTAACCACTTACGATCCGTGGATGATCCTGGTGATCGTAAGTCCCCCGAAAAATAGTTTATCCGAACAATAAATCGATGAACCAACTATGGGTATTAACCACCTATTTTTCTTGTTCTTGATATGACTTGTGATTATGATTATACTTATACCAATATAATATATAGTCAGAATTAATCATACCCAAGTTAATCCCACCCCGGCTCATCCCCGATTTTTGGGGCAATACTAAAGTCAATTAGGTTGTGTTTTCCCCCTGTGCAACCAACATTATTCTGGTTGGTGGTGCAATAACCATCTAGAAAAATATGAGTTCGTCAATGGGAAGGATTATCCAATGTATGAAAAATACAATTCATGTTCCAAACCACCAACCAGGGATTATAACATTGCCAATCTTAGATACCCTGCAAAAAATGACAAATTCTTTGCTGGTGAACGTAGATATTCCCATGAATACCAA